GCTTCTCTTGATACCTGCTTTGGGGAAGCAAAATGCTGCCCCAGAACATGGCTCAGGAGAGAGAATAAGGAAGCCACAACACCGGGCCTAGGTGGCCAGGCTTTAGAACAGTGGTGAGGATATGACAGTAAGGTGTGCAGAGAGCAGTAAGACTGTGGTGTCTATCCACAGAAGCTGTATGTGGGTATGTCTTCTGGGAGTTACTTGTAAGCCCAGGATCAGTGTGACTGCCAGAGGATGAGGCGGTACTAGAGAGAGAGGAGCCTGTATAAGAGTGGACCAAGCCTGTGTAGAGAGTGGTAGGAATTGTTGCCTGTTGCCATGGGGTCATTCCAGAACTCCTCTAGGGGTTAGCTAGAGGTGAAAGGAACTGTGCAGGCTGAAGTTCCAGCTAGACAGATACAGGGCTTTTAGATGCAGTTCTTGAAATCTTAGTGAACAGTTTTATTTCAGTGTTGTTATCTTGAATCCTTTTACAAATTTCAGAATATTCAGATGAGGGTTCTAGATCATATTAGAGTTGACTTATTCTAATTTTAGTAGAGACATTATTCAGTTTGCCTTCTATGTCCAACTTTTCTTCTCTTTTGGCCTCTCACTCATTACTGGAAAGAGACAACCTGCCCTCTAGCTACAGCTGATTATACCCTAACTGGCCATTTGGATTTCCTTTCTTAGAACAAGTAGGGCAGGTGCTGTGAAGACTGGAACTCTGAGCTGGTTTCCAAACACAGTTCTGCATTACGATCACCTGCACAGCCTTGTAAGAGCAGCTGAATCACTAGGTCTGAAGAAGGACCCAGGCATGTATATTTTTAATAAGTTCTGTAGATAGATGTGGATGATCATCTAAGTTTGGGGACCAGTGGACTAGGACACCAACTCAGAACACTATCCTGTTCACTTCTGATAGTTCCTCATCGCAAACCTAGGTGAGTAGGGTGGAGGGTAGAATGGACCTCCAGGGATCTGGACATTGAGACTATGACCATTCCTCCTTTTTTTCTGCTCTGTGACCAATTTAACCTTTCTCTGGGGTCCCCTCTAAAAGTAAGATTATGAACTCCTGTTGTATATATATTAATTCAATAAATACTAAATGCCTACTTTGTACCAGACATTTTGCTAAGCGCTATCCAGCTTGCCACTGAATTGTTCTCTTAATTAGTAAGACAGCATAGGATAGTGAACAAAGCACAGGCTTTGGAGTTACTTTTAGGTATAAGACCAATCCTTGCTACTTGTAGCTGGGTTCCCTGCACATGTTATTTCTCTTCACTAAGCCTCAGTTTCTTCCACTCAAGTACAGGAACAATACCTATCCTACATGGCTATTATGAAGGCTAAATTAAATAATTATTAGGTTTCTACCCCTCCATTCTATGGCTTGGCCATTTTGGCTAGACTGCAAGGGATCTAGTAGCATGGACCATATCTTATGGTTTCATGAATCCTCTATGTTGCCTAAATTGCTACCTCTTGATTCTGCTACACCAATTTGGAATATGATTTATATTTGTACAAGGCAGTAGAGTGTTTTGTTGGAGAATCACTTTTGTCTACTGAACTTGGACAAGGAAGTCTATTCAGAAGGTATATAAGTAGCCTGGGCATGGTGGCTCATGCCTGTAATCCTAGTACTTTGGGAGGCTGAGGCAGGAGGATCACTTGAGCCCATGAGTTTGAGACCAGCCTGGGGAACAAGGCAAAACCCTGTCTCTATAAAAAAGTACAAAAGTTAGCCAGGCATGATGGTGTGCACCTGTAGTCTCAGCTATTGGAGAGGCTGAGGTAGGAGGATCACTTGAGTCCAGGAGGTTGAGGCCGCAGTGAGCTGTGATCATGCCACTACACTCCAGCCTGGGTGACAGAGCAAGACCCTGTATCAATCAATCAATCAATATTTTAAAGAAGAAGATATATAACTAGCATTCAGAAAACCTCAGTTTTTTTTTTTTTTTTTTGAGACCGAGTCTTGCTCTGTTGCCTAGGCTGGAGTACAGTGGTGGAATCTCAGCTCACTGCAACCTCCGCCTCCCAGATTCAAGTGAGTCTCCTGCCTTTGCCTCCCAAGCAGCTGGGATTACAGGCATGTGCCACCACGCCTGGCTAATTTTTGTATTTTTAGTAGAGATGGGGTTTCACCACGTTGGCCAGGCTGGTCTTGAACTCCTGACCTCAGGTGATCCGCCCACCTCGGCCTCCCAAAGTGCTGGTACTACAGGCTTGAGCCATTGTGCCCAGCCAAAAACCTCAGTTTTAAGCTTTTTTCTTCTCTCACCATGATTACATGGGGCACTTCACTTTTTTGAACCTCAGGTTCTTGAGTGAGCTTGACCATCTCTTCCCTTTTTTCTTGTTTTGAGTAGTTTATGATTGTTGCGACACATAAAGACATTTTTAAAATTGAACATTGTGCTATTTTAAATTAAAACAATAATTAAATGCTTCAATAATATGAGAAGATCTATTTTTAAAATCTCTTTAGCTTAATAGACTCGGTGGTCTTTTCCTGGCTTCTTTCATATGCCTTGGTTTTCTGCAAAGTTGGGACCAATGTATGTATTCAATTTGGAGTTCTTTTATTTCTACTTTTCAATGTTACTATATAGTATTCTACTATATTAACATGGGGACTTTAGAATTCATATTGTAGATAAGAATTTAAAAAAAATTTTTTTCCTAAAAGAGCTGAACCGTTAGGCTTCCTGTTTTTCAGTTTGTGCAACTTGACTAACATTTGAAAACTAATGAAATAGAATGGAGTTTAAAATATCAGAATGGTTTCAGGAAACATCTATTTCAGTTTATATTTTTATGTGAAGATGTGTGTTTACTGGATCATGATGTAAAATGTATGCTTACCGAGGGTTTTGACCAAAAGAATTTAAAAGCCACTGGATTAATAACGACAGTCCAATCACATTTTGAGGTTTTCACGTCATATTCTAGAAAAGACTGTTTAATTCCCATGTATGTCCCGAGAGTTGCTTCTTTTGGAAGTACATAGTTAGGTATTTTAGTTGTTAGATGCTTTGGTTCACAAAACTAAGATCTTAAGTGAAATGTAACTATGTATCTCCTCTGCCCAGAATGAAGTTACGGGAAACAAATTTTTATTATACTAATAACTAAATAAATCCAATTAAATTTGGATAAGCCATACTATACCAAATGAAAACAGCAGGGGAAGAAATCTTACACATAAAGGATATACTGTGTTCTTTGGTTGACATGCTTGCCTACACTTTTCCTTTGGCCTTCTATTACATTAGCCAGCTTCTATCTAAAGGAAGCTAAAAAAATGTAGACTTTGTGCATACATTACAAGCCATTTTTTTAAATAATCAGCTCTCTTAAATTCATTTTATATATTTCTTTGAAAAATTTGAGGCTGGGTGTGGGAGCCACCAAACTGCACTTTGGGAAGCTGAGGCAGGAGGACTACTTGAGTCCAGAACTTCGAGACCAGCCTGGGCAACACAGTGAGACCTTGTCTCTATTAAAAATTTAGAAAGTAGCCAGGTGTGGTGGTGTGCACCTGTAGTCCAAGCTGTTTGGGAGGCTGAAGTGAGGAGAATTACTGAAGTGAGGAGAATTACATGAGCCCAGAAGTTTGAGGTTGCAGTGAGCTATGATTGTGTAAGTGCACTCCAGCCTGTGCAAAGAGACCCTGTCTCAAAAAAATAAAAATTTTGCCTAGTCTTGAAGTTGAAAGCAACATTCAGCTTATTACTTGTGCCTATGTCTTCCTCATTAGTAATAATCTCATTGAGCTATTTTTTCCCCCTTTTGGTTATTTTCTGAAACTCACACACATAGCTGCTTCTAATTAACTGTACAAGGGCTTTCTTAGTGAGTGGCTGAGCATGATTTAGCAGCCTGTCTCTCTGGGGAGCTGATTTTATGGAGTAGCTAATGTATTTGTTTTCTGAAAATTTTTTATTTCAATAGGTTTTTGGGTAACAGGTGGCATTTGGTTACATGGATAAGTCTTTTAGTGGCAATTTCTGAGATTTCGGTGCACCCATCAACCGAGCAGGGTATACCGTACCCAATGTGTGGTCTTTTCTCCCTCACTGCCCCTACCCTTTCCCGTGAGTCCCCAAAGTCCATTGTATCATTCTTATGCCTTTGCGTCCTCATAGCTTAGCTCCCTGCCAATGTATTTTCAGTAGTTAACCTGTTTCATAGGCTAAACAAGATTCAGAGTTCTTTTATTTTACTGTTTCAGTCCAGCTCAGTTATGATAAATACAGATCTGTTAGGATAAGAAATTGTGGAGCTTCAGGTTTAGAATAATGAGATTCCTAGGACTGAAGGAAATTTCTGTGATTTAGGAGAGAAAATTATTTTAAATTTATTTCCATTCATTTGCAGAATGAATTTTAAGCAATAGTTAGGGTTGGGAAAGTCCTGTTATTAGCTGAGGAGAGGAGGAAAGTCCATAGCCTGTGGATCAGATAAAGACATTCTGAACTAAATAGACACCATGATGTTTGTTTTCACCCATTTACTATAAAATATGCTGTGGATTTTGGGCAGTGCCTAACCTATGCTCCAAATGTTGCTTTATGGGAAATTCCTATTCACCCATGATATATCTCAATTATTAAAAGTACATAAGAACCTGGTTATCATGAGAGAATATATCCCTGGTGGCAGGACCCAGCTTGGGAGTGGAAATTGCTCTAGCTTCCAGTCACTAGTGGTATATTCTAGGATTTGCGGGGAGTCTTTAGCAGGGTGGAGATCCAGGGCAGTGACAGCTGGTGCTGGTTTCTCTGGTGACCAGGAGACTAGAAACAAGTGGTTATAATGGCTTGTCCTGATATCTACATTGCTTCCAGTCTTTAAGCTGTACCTTGCATCTAGTGACACAGTGCCTACATGTGCCTAAGTTCCTCAGTGGTATCAGAGGACAGGTTATCAAAGTGTGTTTGAAAATGTTTCATTGATATCTTACCAAATGATATACTTTCTTTTGTACTGCCTTTCAGAATTAAAGCTATAGAGAGTCCCAACAAAGAAGATGATACCCAGTGGCTGACCTACTGGGTAGTGTATGGTGTGTTCAGCATTGCTGAATTCTTCTCTGATATCTTCCTGTCATGGTTCCCCTTCTACTACATGCTGAAGGTATGTTGGTTCTCCCTACCACTAAAACTCCATCTCAGGACCTGTATAGAAGAAGTAGGAATAAATGCTTGAATGTTGTACATCTGTGGCTCTGTCTTAGATTATAAACAAGAAGCCAGGCCTGGGTGACAGAGCAAGACCCTGTCTCCAAAAAAAAAAAAAAAAAAAAAAATGCTCAAGCAAGCCACTTGTCTCAGCCTCCCCAGTAGCTGGGACTATAGGCACGTGCCACTGCACCTGGCTACTCTTTTAAACAATTTTATCTAAAGAAATTTAGATATAGGAAATTAAGTATAGGAACCTCCATCACCCCAACCACCATCACAAATGGTAATATCTTGAGTTTTAGTTCTGGGTAATTATGGATATATATTTCTTTTTCTTTGGTCTTAGCTTTTTTTTTTTTTTTTTCTTTTTCTGGGATGGAGTCTTGCTCAGTTGCCCAGGCTAGAGTGTAGTGGCGTGATCTTGGCTTACTGTAACCCCCGCCTCCTGGGTTCAAGCAATTCTCCTGCCTCAGCCTCCTGAGTAGCAGGGATTTCAGGTGCCCACCACCATGCTTGGCCAATTTTTGTATTTTTTTTGGTAGAGATAGAGTTTCACCAGTTGCCCAGGGTGCTCTCGAACTCCTGACCTTAAGCAATCCATGCACCTCGGCCTCCCAATGTGCTGGGATTATAGGTGTGAGCCATCGTGCCTGGATTCAATCTGACCATCTAATTTTCAACTGTATTCCATGATTATATCATAACCATTCTGTTATTCCTGCCATATATTGTGTTCTTCATTTCAGCTGTTATATTGTGCACACCTAATGTTTTTGCTTGGCTCTTTTCTGTTTTCTTCTTGTTTCATATTGCTAATATTTTCTCATTTCTTTTAGTATGGTTAACGCTCCCCAGTTTAAAATTCTTGGTCAGCAGTTCTAATATTTTTGCTCCTGACCAAAACCTGTAGTTGATCGTGTCGTTTTTCTTTTGAAACGTACTCTTGGCAGAGTGTAGCAGCTCATGCCTGCAATCCTAGCACTTTGGGAGGCTGAGGCGGGCAGATTGCCTGAGCTCAGGAGTTCAAGACCAGCCTGGGGAACACAGTGAAACCCTGTCTCTACTGAAATACGAACAAAATTAGCTGGGTGTGGTAGAGTGCACCTTTGTCCCAGCTACTTGGGAGGCTGAGGCAGGAGAACTGCTTGAATCTGCGACGCAGAGGTTGCAGTGAGCCGAGATCACGCTACTGCACTCCAGCCTGGGCGACAGAGCCAGACTCCATCTCTGAAAACAACAACAACAACAAAAAAGAAATATACTCTAAAAATATCTTTTTATTTTGGCCTACAAACTCCTTTTCATCTGAGTATCAGCTATCCCATCAGGCACTGGAATGGAGAGGGCCCCAGTCTGTGCTAGTACTTGTAAGTTCTGGGTAGGGGGTGGATGAGTCCTAGGAGTGGGGGGCCTCAGGCACACAGGAACCATAGTTAACCACTCCTCACCCACAGAAAAGCTCCTGAGGTCAAAGCTTCACTGTACCGCCCTCCTCCATCCCAGCAAAGCAGCATCAAAAGGAAGTGATGCTGGGTTATAGTTCACAGCTCTAGGGGTTGGAGCAGCAGGGGTAGGGAAGTAACTGCCCTTAATTAGTGTCCACCTGTTTTCCTGAGTGACTTGCAAAGACAGGACTTTTATGCCGAAACGTCTGTTTTAGAAAAAAGTAGAGGACAATATTTTTTAACTTTGAGGTATAGAAGTAAGACAAAATACAAAAGTTTCAAAGAAAAAGATTTGATAAATTCAACTAAATAAAATTTCTAAAAATTAAATTTCTATGACAGTGGGCAGCATAAACAAAGTTAAAATAATGACAGACTAGGAAGATAGATTTACAACATTTACACCAAATAAGGAATATCCAGAATACATAACAATTTCTATAAGTAAAAAGAAAAAGAAAAATGGGAAAACAAAGTATTTCATGGAAGAGAAAAAATATGAATGGCCAGTAAACAGCTCAGCAGTGATCTGGGAAGTGTGAATTAAAATAGTAAAATCCCATATTTTGTTCATTAAACTGGCAGATATTTTAAAGATTGAAGATATCTGGGATTGGTGAATGTATAGGGAAACAGACAGGTAGTGGTACAGGCTGAACATCTGAAATCTGAAATTCTAAATGCTTTAAAACCCCAAACTTTTTGAGTGCTCAGATAAAGAAAACGCTCATTGGAGCATTTAGATTTTAGAGTTTCTGATTTGGTATGCTCAGTTGGTATAATATACATATTCCAAAATCTGAATAAATGTGAAACCCGAAACACTTTTAGTCCCAAGCATTTCAGATAAGGGATACTTAACAGGGTAGTGGTAGAAATTGGAATAATCTTTTTAAGGGATCTTTTAACAATTTCTTGTTGAATTGAAAAATGATATTCTTAACAATTCTAAGGAAATAGTCACTGTGCATTAAAGAGCTGCACAAAGATATTCATGGCAGCATTTTTTGTTGTAAACTGTATATAATATGAACTGCATAATGTAAACATTATAAACTGAAATATTCATCAGCAGGTAAATGGTTAATTGATTTAATGGTATATCCATATAGTTAAATGGAATGAAATAGATCCATATGTATAGACCCAGAAATTTTTGCATAATTTAGCAATTATGAAAAGTTATAGAGGACAGGTGTGCTAGCTTTTGCCTGTAATCCCAGCATACTCAGAGGCCAAGGCAGAAGGACTGCTTGAGGCCAGGAGTTTGACACCAGCCTGGGCAACATGGTGAGACCCTGTCTCCACACACACAAATTTAAAAACTAGTCAGGCTCCCAGATCACAGCATGTTGACCAAAAAAAAAAAAAAAAAAAAAAAAGCCAGGCATGGTGGTGCATGCCTGTGGTCCCATCTACTCAGGAGGCTGAGGTGGGAGGATGGTTTGTGCCCAGGAGTTCAAGGCTACAGTAAGCTATGATGACACCACTGCACTCTAGCCTGGGTGACAGAGACCCTGTCTCGAAAAAGAAAAAAAGTAATAGAACGTTAAATACAGTAGTACACACCATTTATGCTTAAAAAAGAAAGAAGACACTATATAAAGTATCATGTCTTTTAAAGTTTAAAAAATTAAATAAAAACATGCTCAGTATAGATTCTGTTATATTTTTGAATGACTTCACCACAGAATGCCTTGTAAGGCAATTAAGAATTTTCCTTTCAAAACTGATGGAAGAAAATAAAAATTGGTCTGTGGAAAGAGTTTATTTCAAAGATTGGATTTTTTTTGTTTTGATTTTTTTTTATTATTCGAAGTCATTTAACATTCATAAAAATATTCTTGTAATCTTTAATTTGGACATGACATAATTTAAACTTCAGATAATTTTAAAGCCTTTAATAAGATCCATCTAATGGTAGGGACCTCACAGTGCAGTCTAGTGGAAATAAATTGGCTTTTGCTTTGGGCCCACTTGTTTGTGGCAGTGAACAATATCTTGTCAGCAGAACTAGCAGTATTACCTGACTTCAAATTTCCAAAATGTGAGTAAGCTTGACTTCTAGCCTACTCCTAATCACCTCTGCTAATGGAGTCCACAGAGAGGTAGAGAGAAGATCCAAAATAAATGGTAGTCATTGAATCATTTATATTTGGTTTTGAAGTTCTTTAAAATACTGCTTTGCAGCAAATTTTCTTTCCTAATGGTAAAATGAATGTGTATCCATTAGTAGTCTCCAGCTACATGGCATCATAGTGTTCATGAAAGTGAATTTATTGCATACATTCCAAATAGATAATATACTTGAAAGGATTAAAAATTCATGATGCTGTCAATCAAAATGCTTTCTTCCTACATTAGTGGCATATTCTGAATGACTCAGTAAACAGACTGAGAAGAGGCCTCTGAACTGCAGAGTCTGTAGGAGAAGGTTCAGGAGAGTACTGAATTTTAAGGACTAGAATCCATCTTACCTATGCTGTTGCAATCACATGCTGACTGAAAATGTGGAAAATAGACTTAGAAGTAAGGACATGGGATTTTTTTTTTGTTTTCTGAGATGGAGTCTCACTCTGTCACCCAGGCTGGAGTACAGTGGCGCCATCTTGGCTCACTGCAACCACTGCCTCTTCAATTCTAGCGATACTCCTGCCACAGCCTCCGAAGTAGCTGGGATTACAGGCACGTACCACCACACACAGCTAATGTTTGTATTTTTAGTAGAGGTGGGGTTTTACCATGTTTGCCAGGCTGGTCTCAAACTCCTGACCTCAAGTGATCTGCCCGACTTTGTAATCCCAAAATGCTGGGATTACAGGCATGAGCCACTGCTCCCGGCCCAAGGACATGTTTAATATTTTATTTTTTGCAGAGTTAATATTGTTGGCTTTATTTTTATTTTTCTAAAGCAGCTTATAAGATTGGAGGAAAATAAAAGGAGCCAATGGCTAGGCATCAAAGCTTAGTTGAGAAGATAATATATGATGTACTTAGGTAGAAATTGGATCATGCATGTTCTGGGCTTTGCTTTGATATCTGGCCTTGAGCAAGAGGGTTTAAAAATAAATTTAAAAGCTGTTTTTTCTTGATTATGAAATTTATATATGCTCATTCCTTTATTCAGCAGATATTTATTTAGAACCTTCATGTGTCCATTCTGTTCTACATCTGGGAGATACTTTGGTGAATAAAACAAAGTCCTTGTTATCCTACTGTTTACATTTTTGTGTGAGTGTGTGTGTGTGTGTGTTGGGAAGTGTTTTATGTGGGGAGGAAAATAACATTTGTAATCCTACATCTGAGTCTTCCCATTTTTTAAAATGTGCAAATATATTGGTCTATGTGTATAAATACAAACAGAACTGTGTGTGTATATATGTGTGTGTATATGTATTGCTGTCTTAACCATATATGTGGTTGAGATCACATATAATTGTCTTGCTTTTTTCAATTAACACAGTATTATGAGTATTTTCTCATGTTACTCAGTATTCTTTGACAAGCTGTCTAATCTATTATTGATAATTTACCCATTCCCAATTGAAAGACATTCATTTGTCATGTGATTATACATAACGCTGCAATTAATATCTTTGTATCCTATGTTTACCTTCATTTAAATCATTTTCTAGATTTATTTTTTTATATATATTTTTTGAGATGGAGTCTTGCTTTGTCGACCAGGCCGGAGTGCAGTGGCGTGATCTCGGCTCACTGCAACCTCTGTTTCCCAGGTTCAGGCAATTCTCCTGTCTCTGCCTCCCGAGTAGCTAGGACTACAGGTGTGCACAACCACACCCGGCTAATTTTTGTATTTTTAGTAGAGACGGGGTTCACCATATTGGCCAGGCTGCTCTCAAACTCGTGACCTCGTGATCTCCCTGCCTCAGTCTCCTAAAGTGTTGAGATTACAGGTGTGAGCCACCAGGCCCAACTAGATTTATTTTTAGAACAAGGTTGAGTAAACTCTGGCAGGATTAGGTCCTGACCTGAATTGTCACCTGTGCTGTTTCACCCATTGACAGAGAATACAACATTTTTCTTTTTCTTTTCTTTTCTTTTTTTTTTTTTTTGAGATGGAGTTTTGCTATATTGCCCAGGCTGGAGTGAAGTGGCGTGATCTCAGCTCACTGCAACCTCTGCCTCCTGGGTTCAAGCCATCTCCTGTTTCAGCCTCCCAAGTAGCTGGGATTACAGGCGCCCACCACCACACCCAGCTAATTTTTGTATTTTTAAGAGTCGGGGTTTCACCATGTTGGCCAGGCTGGTCTGGAACTCCTGACCTCAGGTGATCCACCCACCTCGGCCTCCCAAAGTGCTAGGATTTCAGGTGTGAACCACCATGCCTGGCAACATTTTTCTTCTTAATCTTCGTAGGAGGCCAAAAAAGACAGGGAAATCTTTCCTTTAACACGTCCTTTTTAAGCTTTTATTTGTGCATGCTGAGCAGTGTTTTAAATGTAGCCCGTAACTCTTCTGTGGCTACACTGCAAAGGCTTCTTAGACTTATGTTTCTGATCAAGTCATTGTAGCCTATCAGGAAGTCAGTGTTGAAGTACATTTTCTTCTGACATTAACTTTCCATTCCCTAACTGCATGTTAAGCATGCCCCTACCTGGAAAGTATCTTTTCTGGGGGAAAATCAGATGGTGACAGCATTAGAAGCACAGACGGAATAGAATGGCCTGTTGTAATATGTAATTTAAGGAGTCACTGTGTCAGTGCTAATAGTGCCAAGAGTCCAGTTAAAATAGCATGAACTCTGTCTGAACTGCAGGCAGCAGTGGGCTTGTGGGTCTCCTTGGGAGTATCATCAGCTGGCACTTTGAGGGCAGCTTGACTGAAAAGACAGCCAGATCTCTGTGGGTGATTTTAATAAACTCAGGCTATTCCTGGGCTGTAGAACAGTTACATAGATTAAGAAGAGAGGGTTGTAAGAGGTGGCAGCTGAATATCACCTTGGGAGTTGAACAGTAATTAACTTTATTTTTAATATAAGAAAATGATTTCATTTCAGAACTGGAATATGCTAAAGATGTACCTAGACAGCAGTAATTATTTTACTGTCTCAAGACAATAGCTAGAGGATACCAGTACCAGAAAGTAGTAAATTAACAGTCTGCAGTCTAGCCTACAAAGTAATCACACTGAAGAGGTACAAAACTGTGGACACTTGACTTAATTCATCCAGAAAAGATAATCAGCTTGTCTGGATTGCTGAAGAGTTAGTATCTATGTAGGCAGGTGATATTTCAGAGATTTTCCACAATAAGAACTTTAAGATTTGGTAATACTACTATTCTATTGTATACTTTCTTCAAGTACATTAATTTGTGACTTTCCTAAAACCCTGCAGAAGAGAAAACTGTCTCTTAGGTTGATTTGCCTAAAGTCATAAAACATACCCCACCTCTCCTTTTTCTTTTTTTTTCTTTTTTGAGACAGAGTCTGGCTGTGTCACCAGGTTGGAGCAGAGTGGTGCAATCTTGGCTCACTGCAACCTCCACCTCCTGGGTTCCAGTGATTCTCCTGCCTCAGCCTCCTGAGTGGTTGGAACTACAGACGCCCGCCACCATGCTCGGCTATTTTTCTAATTTTAGTAGAGACAGGGTTTCACCATGTTGGCCAGGATGGTCTCGATCTCTTGACCTCGTGATCCACCTACCTTGGCCTCCCAAAGTGCTGGGATTACAGGCATAAGCCACTGCTCCCGGCCCCACTTCTCCTGAGTCTTAATCCAATAAGTCATTTTCACTTCACCTTAATGCTTCTGGTTTTAATATAGATATCTGTCTCTCTCTTGATAATCCATTTCTGAAAATCAGATATTCTATGCAGGAGTACATTCTATGCAGGAGCTTATTTTCCACTATGTTAAGTGGGAAAAATTTTAATATATTACATGTCAATATAAAACTCCCCAACGAATTCCCTAAGCATTAATAAAATACAGCAAAATACCTATATATAAATAACAAATATCATGTTAGGATGTTAGATGCTAAAAACACTTGCTGCTCTCCAAATAGTTAATATAGTAAGAAACAATTGCTTTGTGTGCAGGAATACATAGCACATACCCTGTGATGCTCTGCATATTCTTCAAAATGTCCACCAGGGATTCTGATATTCTGTCAGAAATGTTACTCAAGACATTTCCTGTACATCATCTTGTATTGCATTTTGGGGATGTACAGCTTTTCCTATATAAGCAACTACAGTAAAACATTATATGAATTTTGGATATTAAAAACCAAAAGGCAGCTGGGTGCAGTGGCTCACGCCTGTAATCCTAAGCATTTTGGGAGGCCAAGGTGGGTGGATCACAAGGTCATGAGATCAAGACCATCCTGGCCAACATGGTGAAACGCTGTCTCTACTAAAATACAAAAAATTAGCTGGGCGTGGTGGCATGCACCTGTAGAGGGATTGAGGCAGGGGAATTGCTGGAACCCAGGAGGCGGAGGTTGCAGTGAGCTGATCGCGCCACTGCACTCCCGCCTGGCAACAGAGCAAGACTCCGTCTCAAAAAAAAAAAAAAAAACAATAACAAAACAAAAAACAAAACAACCAAAAGGCTTCCACAGGGAAATAACTAGAGAGGTGGTTTTGCAGGGTCTGCTGTAATTAACTGGCACTAAGCCAAGGAAACAAAGCTAATGCCAGTGAAAAACACAGTTATTTAATTCTCCATTTTGGGTCAATGCAAATGCGTATCTCAAAAAACCAAGGTTCTGAACCTCTGGCAACATCTTACAATTCAGTAAGATCTGCTGCTGGCTAAGCCTAGGGCATGCTAGAGCAGAGTTGCTGGGAAAACTAAGAGTAACATGTAACTACTTGCACATACTGAGGGTACCTCAAGACACTGGCTTCCTTGGAGTGCTTGGACTTTTAACAGAAGGTCTTAGTCTACCATTGTATGTGTGCAGGAGGCTGATTTGAGTTTTTGCATGATTGCACATTCATGCACATAGCATTACTATCCATGTGTAGTGAGACTACTAGATGCTAGTCTGAGTCTTTACCCTTCCATCACCTACTGTCATGCTTTCCCAAGTCTGAAGATCCTGTTTTCCAAGATCTGTGCTCAGTAAACAAGCTTTGGAGTCTTTAAATTAAAGGAATAGGAAAGGTGAAGAGAGGCCTGGCTTAAAATCATAACATGGAGATTATGGCAGTGAATCACATTGGGTTGAATGCTCTGATATGGAAAGCAGGCTGTGTAGTTCCTCTAGTTCAGAAATTCTATTTTTTGAGACAGAGTCTCACTCTGTCACCCAGACTGCAGTGAAGTGGCATGATGTTGACTCACTGCAACCTCCACCTTCCAGATTCAAGTGATTCTCCTGCCTCAGCCTCCCAAGTAGCTTGGATTATAGACGCCTGCCACCATACCTGGCGAATTTTTGTTATTTTTCGTAGAAACAGGGTTTCGCCATATTGGCCAGGCTGGTCTCAAACTCCTGACCTCAAGTGATCCACCCTCCTCAGCCTCCTAAAGTGCCAGGATTACAGGATTACAGGATCACCGCGCCTGGCCTAGTCGTTTCTTTTCTTTCTTTTTTTTTTTTTTAGAACAAAACTAGTTTATTTGGATTTGGGGCTCTGAACAGTTCTGCCTCTATTACCCGACCTCCTCCTGCCACGACTTCGGGACCTAGAGGAACTTTGGCTCTGGCTGCGGTGGCTCCTGCGGCTCTGGCTCCGGCGGCCCTGGCCCTGGCCGCGGTGCCTGTTTCTTCCTCTGCTTGGTGAATTGTGCTTCTCCTGACTCTTTGATGTGTGTTTGTGAGATTTCTTCCCCCTGTGACTACTCCTTTTCCTCTCAGATTCCCCATTTCTTTTGTAGGAGTGGTCTGGACTAGGGTTTCTCCTTCCCCGCAGCCTGCTGGGGTAGTGGTCGTGGTGGCCCATCCTCTCCCTCCTCTCGGAGTTCTTGCCAAAGGAGGAGCCAGTCTGATCTGGAGACAAGTGGATGTCTCTGTTAGCTTCCCAGAATTCATTGTTGGGATTTCTGAACACATGAAGAAAGTTGCAGTGTTTTCCTCTTGGACACTGTTGTATTTCAAATAAACCACAAATCGCCATTTTCCACCGGGTCACTGGGCAGAATTCACATTGCAGCTGTCGTCCTGCATACCACCGTCCATTAAACAGAGAAAGGGCTGCTTGGCATTCTTCTTCCGACTGGTACTGAACATATACATTGCCCCTCAGGTGAGGTTCTAAATTGCAGCTGACCTTGAACTGAATCACCTTCCCCACGTTCTTGAACTCGGGCAACACATCCTCATAGAAATCTAGGAACTGTTGGTAGATTTCTTCCTCGCTATACTCCAGGCTTGCGTCAGGGTCATAGTCATCCCTCCTGCACTGCTCCATTCCAAACGTTGTAAACATGCTCTTAATAAGAAGGGTAGGACTGGATGCTGGGAAATTATGTTTACGTGAACATCTGTCTCCAAATCTGCAAGCTCCTGTTTTACTGTAAAAGGGACAATTAGCTCGATCCTTCTCCATTCCTCTGAAATCCACAGGTGGTTCAGGGTTTTGCCATATGGTACCATTTTCTAATTCATTTTCAGCCTGATCCAGCATCTTCTGCACAGCTTCCTTTTTTTTTTTTCTTCTGTCGTTTCTGGTCCTCCTCTTCTCTATCTTTCCTCTGCTGTTCTTCCCATTGTTCCTTTAACTTTCTCTCTTGTTCTTGCCATTTTTTAGCTGCCTCTTCCTTTTCCTTCTTTATTCTGAATTCTTCTTGTGCCTTCTGCTCTCTCAGCAACCACTCCTCATGTAATCTTTGCCTCTCTCTTTCCAATAGCTTCTCTTCTTCTAGTTGTTGTTCTTCAATAAAAGTGTCCTCCTCCTCCTCCTCCTTCTGTGAGAGTCCTGAGTGTCTCAGTCGAGCAAGTTCCTGCCGACATTTCTTTCGTTTCTCCTTCTTCAGGGCGGCCCTGTACTTTTTGTGGCTTGGTTTCTCTGGAAACGTCATCTTCTCAAGCGTAGCCATCTTGCCGGCACCGCCTGGCCCCTCAGACATTCTTAACCTATGGGAATATATGGAAGATTCTGTTCATAGCTGCCACTGTCAGTGATTCTACTTACAAGTATTTTATGATGTCTTCTAGTATTGTTTTGTTTGCATACTTATATATATTACAAATTACTTTCATTTTGTTTTTCCTTTATGTTGCAGTTAGACTATTTTTTGTAATTAAGTATATCATAAATTTGAATTTCATTTCATGTACTAAAAGGAGAGTTTCTAAAATATTTACTTATGGCCAGGAGCGGTGGCTTACTCCTGTAATCCCAGCACTTTGGGAGGCCAAAGCGGGCGGATCTCCTGAGGCCAGGAGTTCGAGACCAGCCTGACCAACATGGCAAAAACTCATCTCTACTAAAAATTAAAAAAATTAGCTGGGCATGTTGGCACGTGCCTGTAATCCCAGCTACTTGGGAGGCTGAGGCAGGAGAATTGCTTGAACCCAGGAGGCGGAGGTTGCAGTGAGCCAAGATTATGCCACTGGAGTCCAGCCTGGGTGACAGAGTGAGAATCTGTCTCAAAAATAAAAAATAAAAATAAAGATTTGCTGAAATGTTTCTGGTTCTAGGATTTGCTTTCCCCCACTGAAAGCTAATATGCTCTCCTGTTAGTAATGTTTCATAGATGCTGTTAGAAAACACAGTATTCTTGGGTCAGAGAAAGTCCTTGCTATGCTCAGTAATTTTCTTTTCTTACAAAATTATAGGGGTAGATTTTTAAATTCCCAATACCTATTTTATAGAGGAAAAAACAGACTTAAGTAATTAAGTAACTTGCATAAGGTTTGCTTAGCTAGTAAATGGCAGAACCGGGATTGGAAATTAATTTCTTTGAGCCCATTCTGTTACTCTCTGTATACTATACTAACTCTTTGAATCCCTGTTTGTTGGGTTGAGAGATCTGTATATATCTTTAGAGTGAGATTTTAGGCCAGGTGCAGTGGCTCACACCTGTAATCCCAGCACTTTAGGAGGCCGAGGCAGGTGGATCACTTGAGGTCAGGAGTTTGAGACCAGCCTGGCCAACATGGCGAAACCCTGTCTCTACAAAAAGTACAATAATTAGCCAGATGTGATGATGCGTCTGAGGCGGGAGAATCACTTGAGCCCAGGAAGTTGAGGCTATAGTGTTCTGTATTTGTGCCCCTGCACTTCTGCCTGGGTAACAAAGTGAGACCCTGTCTTTAAAAAAAAAAAAAAAAAAAAAAAAAATTTTAAAATTTTTGTTTTTTTTTTTTTTTTTTTATTATTTTTTAGGTGTTTTTTTATATCAATTTTTTTTTTTTTTTTTTTTTTTTTGTCTTTTTGAGACAGGGTCTTGCTCTCTCACCAAGTCTGGATTGCAGTAGTGGTATCACAGCTCACAGCAGTCTCGACCTCCCAAATTCAAGCCACCCTCCTGCCTCAGCCTCCCAGGAGGACCACAGGCACATGCTACCAAGCCTGGCTAATTTTAAATTATTTTCTTTTTTTTTGTGGCCGGGAGCAGTGGCTCACACCTGTAATCTCAGCACTTTGGGAGGCCAATGGGGGCGGATCATTTGAGGTCAGGAGTTCAAGACCAGCCTGACCAACATGGTGAAACCTTATCTCTACTAGAAATAGAAAAATTAGCCAGGCATGGTGGTGTGTGTCTGTAGTCCCAGCTACTCGGGAGGCTGAGACAGGAGAATCACTTGAATCCAGGAGGCGGAGGTTGCAGTGAGCTGAGATTGTGCCACGGAACTCCAGCCTGGGTGAGAGAGCAAGACTCCAATCTAAAAAAAAAAAAAAAAATTTTTTTTTTTTTGCCCATAGAGATGGGGTCTCCCTATGTTACACAGGCTAGTCTCAAAACTCCTGGGCTCAAGTGATCCTCCAACCTCAGCCTCCCAAAGTGCTGGGATTACAGGTGTGAGCCTGGCTAGTATATCAATTTCTGATGGAAATGTTAAAATCTATGATTGCAGATTGTGTCCATTTGTCTATATAATTCTGACTTACATTTACATATTTTAAAGCCATATTTGAAAGCTATCTATAGCTATATATAAAATATATAATTATAAAAATATTATATTACAAACATACAAAGCTATATATAATTTACATATTTCAAAGGTATATACAAGTTCAGGAATTTTAATATTCTTGCTGAATTGCTTTCCTTATCATTCTATTTACTTATTTTGCCTTAAGCAATTTGTATGTATTAATATTACTAATAAGCTATTCTGGGAGTTGGTGTTTGTCTGATATATCTTTCCCATAACTTTATTTTCAGTGTTCCTATTTGGTTTTGTGGTAGGTATGTTTCTTAAGCATACAGCTATAGTTTTGGGGTTTTATAAAAAATTTAGTCCTATAGTCTCTGGGTTTTGTTTTGTTTTTGAGATGAGCTCTTGCTGTGTTGCCCAGGATGGTCTCTGCATTAGTCTGCTCTCATGCTGTTAATAAAGACATACCCGAGAATGGGCAATTTATGAAGGAAAGAGGTTTAATTGACTCACAGTTCCACATGGCTGTGGAGGCCTCACAATCGTGGTAGAAGATGAAGGAAAAGCGAAGGGATGTCTTACATGGCAGTGGCAGGCAAGAGAGAATGAGAGCCAAGTGAAAGGGGAAACTCCTTGTAAAACTATCAGATCTCGTGAGACTTATTCACTACCATGAGAACAGCATGGCAGGAAACCACCCCCATGATTCAGTTATCTCTCACCTCGTCCTTTCCACAACACATGGGAATTATGGGAGCTACAGTACAAGATGAGATTTGGGTGGAGACACAACCAAACCATGTCAGTCTCCAACTCCTAGGCTCAAGCAATCCTTGCACCTTGGTCTCCCAAGTCACTGGAACTACAGGTGCATGCCACCATGCCAGTAAGTCTCTGTCTTAAAAACACTTGTGCATCTGTAACAAATTTTAATTCACAAAGGTTACATTTCAAGAGTTACTTTTTACTATAGTTGAGATAAGGGGAGCTTGGGCAACATTGTGAGACTTGGTCTCTACAAAAAAAAAGTTATAAAAATTTAGCCAGGCCTGGTGGTTCATGCCTGGTTAGTCCCAGCTACTTGGGAGGCTGGGGTGGGAAAACTATTTGAACCCAGGAGTTCAAGGCTACAGTAAGCCATGTTCATGCCACCGCACTCCAGCCTGGGTGACAGAGCAAGACTCTCAAAAATAATAATCTGGTGATATTAATTTGTTGAGAACTTGGGTTTTGTTTTTTATTTTGAGTGTAGTACAAGTTCAGAGTGTAGTACACGTTCAAAGTGTAGTATAAATTTCTCAGAGCCAACACGGTGCTGTTGGAGTGAGCTATTTGTGCATTTTAAACTAAAACTCTGTCATTAGTGTTAGCCTTTTATCAGCTTTGTATCTCTAAAACACTTGAAAGACTGTCTTAGAAAGGCATCATAGCTTGTTGATGATCAGAGTACATCCCTTGGTTTGGAATCATAAGGACTAAGCCTTTTAAATTTAAAGCATGATAAATTAAGATGTTTTTACTTTAAGGAGAAGATGTAAAAAATACTGATTTGGAATCTCTCTGTAAGTGACTTCTGTTTTTTTTTTTTTTGTAGAGTCACCTAGGCTGTGTGGAATAAAATGTGGTTAAAATCTTTTAAACTAAAATAACTCAGCATGTTGTTTATTAAACTTTCTAGGGAAATGGGCAGATTACTCTGAATATTCCCTTTCCTTCTTTTTTTTTTTTTCCTTTTTATCTTAAAAAGGAGTAAATTGCATGGATGACTTGAAGTGGCAAGTTGGTATTATTTGAATAAACAGTAAAAATTTTTAGACATAGTGTAAAAATCCTTATTTAAGTAATTAGGGCAGAAATTTGTCAATTTAAAAAAAAATCTCAATGGCAAAGTAGAGCTGTAAAGGAGGAGTTAGGAATAATAACTACATTTAAGATGAAAGATGAAGAACAGCTGTAAAGATTCCTTGAAGGCTAAAGATCTACCCAAAAACTGAGGTTCCACCAAAGGAAGAATTCAAGAATGGACAAGGTATTTTTTCTATAATAGGATGAACAAATGTGATAAATTTACCAAGGTAAGTCTACCAAGCACAAGCCTCCTAGATATTAGGCTTATCTGGATAGGGCTTTATGCATGCAGGTAAGTACTATATTTTCTTAAATTGATTTCTAAGAGTTATGATTAATAAAAGCTTCTTACAGCTATATACTAAAAAGTGGTCCAAGTTAGGAAGATAGTTAAGCTCCTGGACGTGGTGTGTTTTACCCTTTGTTTTTTAGTCTCAGCTTTTCCTTACCAGCTCATTACTCATCATGTTTTTTCCATCTAAAGAAAGCCCACCTTTAACCTGCAGAAAACACTGGTAATGCCTTTGGAGAAAATGCCAGAGGCATTTCCCATCCCCATAGTAAAAGACAGCGTGTATTCTCAGAATGTGCCCCTCCACCCTCCTGTTAACCATGCTGGCTCTTATTCTGCAGTGTGGCTTCCTGTTGTGGTGCATGGCCCCGAGCCCTTCTAATGGGGCTGAACTGCTCTACAAGCGCATCATCCGTCCTTTCTTCCTGAAGCACGAGTCCCAGATGGACAGCGTGGTCAAGGACCTTAAAGACAAGGCCAAAGAGACTGCAGATGCCATCACTAAAGAAGGTAAGACTCAGGAACAATATGGCCCCACATGTGAGAGGAGGTGTGACACACTGGGCTCAAATAACAGGCTTCCTGGCCTTCTTGTCTTACCAGCACCCCTCAGCCAAATGCCACCATTACTCTGGGATTTCTTTACAAAGTCTTTGCCTATTGAGAACACTTACAGTTCTCAGCTTTTCCCAAGACTCTTCCTCCATGCCACATTTAATGTAGCATTGAGTCAGAACATTAGGAAAAATGACTTTCCATGGTAGGCAGTGATTTTAGAGAATCACCTATATTGATATGCAAGTACATCTCTTCTAATTGTTTAATTTGTTTGCATTATACTTTTTAATTATATAGGTAGTTTTAAATAAATGGAGAAAGCACCTTTCAAAAGCTATACTAGCAGGAAACAATTCCATCAAGCATTTACACAGTCAATTTCTATAATTTTACAAAAAATTCTTGATCTTTACTTGAACTGTACATGAGGGGAAAAGAGCCCTCTCAGGTAGGTGTTCTCTCCACTTGCAGAAGCAAACTAAAGGACCTAAAACTAGAGGCAAGCCTGGGATGCCAAAAAGGGGGAGGAGAAATGATAAATAGCCATTCATGAATTCCATGTCTACTCTAAGACACGTCTCTAATCACCCTCACATAATAAATATTTAGGGCAAACTACCACTCTTTAGAAAAAGTACAACCTCAAAAGCTGTAGTTCTGAATTATAGTAACATATCAAATACCTTGGACTGCTGCATGCCAAAAGACAATACTTGGGGTTCTCTATGACATTTGAACAGATAAATATGTTAAGGGAATTCTCTAGGACTGTAGACTCTCTAGCCTTTGGAATGAAGCACAGGCAGGCTTCTCTGCTATCCTCCAGGCAGTGTAATAGTCAAGGAAAAGGGCAACAGTATTAGATCACCCCTTAGACACTAACCAGCTGGGGAAAGAGTTCATTGGCCAGTCTCCTCCTTAGAATAGTTTGCACCAAGTGGAGAGGCCATGTTGCTGAAGGGGAAAGGGGAGCCCTCATACCCACAGTCACTGTAAACATCCAGTAGACAGGAAGATGGCTTCGGGCAGTGGCTGGATGAAAGTATATTGGAGACACCCTGGTCTGGAATGAAGTCATCTTCCACAAAGTCTTCCTTCACTGAGACCACGAATTCCGGGTGATCTTTCTCTGGGAGGCTGAGAGGTGCTTCCTTGATTTTCACTACCACATTAGCTTGACTCTCTGTCTCAGACTACGGGCTTGGCATATATGTAGTCAAAATTAATTAGTTCATTAATAGCTTCAAGCTTGGCTGATAATGTCCCCACTGACAGAGAAAGGGAAGCTGGTTAGGAATTGGGTCCTTCTGAGTAGACCTCTGGGAGCTGCTCCAGGCTGGCAGACTCTGGGGAAGGACATTTGAAGAACACTACTGGGGGTAAGTTGTCCAGAATGCCCAACAGGATATCATACTGGGAAGGTAGTTGATGTTTACTTTCAACCCCACCACAACTAACTTCTACCCTCATCTGCCTAGTTAGGGATGTCAAGCATCAAATAGATGGAATTAACTTGGCTTTCGCCGCCTCTTCAGTAACCAGGGCCTCCATCCCCAAGTGCTGCCTTCACTCACGGTTCTCAACTATGAGTCCATGCATTTTCTCTTGTAAAAGCTGATTGTCTAGCAAAAGTTTTTGGTTCTGTTCTAAATCTACCACTTGCTGTTTCAGGTCACTCATTTGAGCTTGCCTTCTGTCTCTGGCAGTTTGAGCTGCTAACCCTGTTTTTCAATGTCCTCCTCAGCGCCTTCTCCTTGGGGTTCCCCACCCCCACACAGCACTCAGCATCTCCTGGCTGGCTCCTCTCTGGGCCGGCACCATGAACAGCAGGGCCTAGCTGGCCAGGGCTGTAGCAGCAGGGTGACCAGACAGAAGTAGTACTTTGGAGGCCCTGACGGCCAGCCTAATTCAGTTCAGGTTGATCGGTTCAGTATGCTGTTCAATTTTTGTTATGGGTACAAAAGAATGTCCACTCTCAGCTCTGATTAATTCACTCAATAAATATTTATTTATTGAGGTGTTTAATATGTGCCAAGCATGTTCATAACACTGGCAGTGAACCAGCAAACCAGAGACCATACTCCTTGAATTAATGAAGCTTACAGTCTAGTTGAGAGATAGGCAGTAAAATTGAAAATTAGATGGTATATTTAGCAGATAATATAGGGAAAAAATAAGTAGAAAGATGGGGGGGCCAAGGACTGGAGGGATGCTTATTATTTTAAATAGAGACATTTAGGAAATCTATACCAGAAGGCTCTACTGAATCAGACTCGATAGCAGTAAAGGAATCAGGAACAGTGACTCAGCCTATAATCCCAACACTTTGGGAGGCCAAGGTAGGAGGATCACTTGAGGCCAGGAGTTTGAGACCAGCTTGTTTGTGACGGGGTCTCCTATGGAGACCCGCTCTCTACAAAAGTTAAAAAATTAGCCGGACATTGTGACGCAAGCCTGTAGTCCCAGCTACTCAGGAGGTTGAAGTAGGAGGATCACTTCAGCCCACGTCAAGGCTGCAAGTGAGCTGTGCCACTCTAGCCTGGGTAACAAAGCAAAACCCTGTCCCCCTAAAAAAAATAAAAAGAGAGAGAGAAAAAATGGTAAAGGAAAGAACCATGGGGAATCATACTCCAGAATGAGCTGCATATGCAGAAGTCCTGAGGTGGGAGCAACGGAAGAAGTGATCTAGAGAGGTGCAGGAGACGAGGTGGGACAGGTTGCGGGTGATAGGCCATTGTAAAGGTTTTGGCTTCGACTCTGTGTGAGATGTGGAGGTATTGGGGAATTTTAACCAGAGGAGCAAAATGATCTGTCCTGTGTTGTAACAAGATGCCTGTGGCCACTGTATTAGGAACAGACTGAAGGGGGGTAAGGGAGGAAATTGGGAGAATAGTTAAAAGGTTTTTGCAGTGATCTGACTGGAGATGACGATGGTGGTTTGGTTCTTTGTGTAGCAGTAGGAGGTAAGAAGTATCAGATTCTTGATATATTTCAAAGGTAGAAGTAATGGGATTTGCTTATGGATTGGGCATGGGTCAGAAGGGTTAAGGGCAAGGACAAGCTTTTTAGCCTTAACAAATGGAAGGATAAAATTGCCACTGAGCTGGAGATGACTGGGTAGAATAGGTTTTGTTGGGGTGGGAGGTTGTGGTGGGTCGGGGGGATATGGAATTCAGTCCTGGACATTTGTTTGAGGTATCTGTTAGATACCTACAAGGATCAAACAGCTAGTTGGATACAGGTGTCAAGAGTTCAAGAAACAGGTCTGGACTGGGGACATAAATTTGGGGGCCACAAGCTTATACATATTAAACATGAGACTGGATGAGATCACGAAAGTAGTGTAGTTAGGAAAGAGGAGGTCCAAAGACTTAACGCTGGGGAGTCTAAGGTTTAGAGACTGGAGAGATGAGAAGCAACCAGCAAAGCAGACTGATAAGGAGTGGCCAGTTGAGGTAGCAAGAAAACCATAAGTGTGTGGTATCCTTGGGTCCAACAACAGAAAGTGTTTCAAAGAGAAGTGATCTATCATGTTACATGCTGTCAACAGGTCAAGTAAGATAAGGACTGAGAAATGAGCAGATTTAGCAATGAGGAAGGTACTAGTGATTTTGGTAACACAGATTTTGTGGAGTGGTATCAAACTCCTGATTGCAATGGATTTGAGAGAATGAGAGAAAAGGGATGAGAGAACATAGATCTTTCTTTTGAGAAATTTCCTGCAAAGGGGAGCAGAAGAATGGGACTATAACTGGAAGAAGGAATTAGGGTCCTGAAATTTTAAAAGTTTTTTTCTTAAGGTAGAGAAACAAAGCCTGTTTGAAAATGAATGGGAATAATTCAACAGAGCAAAAAATGATGACAGGGGTGAGAGGGTGAATTGCTGGAGCTCTGTCCTTGACCAGGGAAGGATCCAGTATACAGTAGAGGGACTGGTCAGAAGAGCTGGAAGTTTATGATAACAGCAGGGAAATCAGGGTTTATGGTATGCTGTGAGCACATGGGACTATGGGAGCCTACAGAAGTGACTTTCTAATTGTTTCAAATATCCCAGTAAGGTAGGAAGAAAGAAGGCCAATTGAGAGAGGATGGGGAAGGAGACAGTGGAAAGAGAATGTATGAAATAGTTGGGAAGGAGAGGGACTGCTCAACTCTTTCTGTAAAGGGCCAGATAACAAAATTTTTTTTTTTGAGATGGAGTCTCGCTCTGTCGCCCAGGCTGGTGTGTAGTGGCCGGATCTCAGCTCACTGCAAGCTCCGCCTCCCGGGTTTACACCATTCTCCTGCCTCAGCCTCCCAAGTAGCTGGGACTACAGACGCCAGCCACCTCACCTGGCTAGTTCTTTGTATTTTTTAGTAGAGACGGGGTTTCACCGGATAACAGATGTTTTCATGGCTATCAGGTCTCTGTTGCAGCTACTCTCCTCTGCCATTGTAGTGTGAAAGCAGCCATGGACACTACATAAGCGAGTGTAGCTGCCGTGTGTCGGCCCCTCTAGGACAGTCGGAGAGTAAATGGACTGGAACAATGTCCTGTGACTGCCAGGCAGTGTTAAAGGCATGCTTGAGATTTGTGTTCATGAATTTATAGTGAAACCAGTTCTTGTTTATGTTTTTCTCCAGCCATACTCAGCTACATGGGTACAGCTGCAGAGTAGGTGGACAGTTGTGTCAAGGTTGTGATTTCCAGCAACTATGAAGTGAGAGTGGGACTGTGGAGTGGTTAATGCTTGACAATGGAATTTAACCTGAGTAAGGTGGAAGAACTCTGAATCAGGATAATAGCAGGAATACTCTAATCATTTACAATGAGCAAAAAAAGGGGGATGGGGAGCACACTACAAAGAAAAAAGTGCACTACAAAGATGATGGTGGGTGAGTGGGATGCTTAATACAAGATTATGTAGGGACTGCAGCATTGGTACTAACAGATATCCTGGGAGTCAGTGCCATATGTAGGGTGGAATATAAGGGTTATTGGAGGGGAGGAATTAAGAGGTCAGGATATTAGAAGATCACATATGTCTACATGGATATTAAAATCATCAATAATTAAAATAGGAGTAGTAGGTCAGGTGCAGTGGTCACACCTGTAATCCCAGCACTTTGAGAGGCCAAGGTGGGTGGATTGCTTGAGCTCAGGAGTTTGAGACCAGCCTGAGCAACATGGTGAAACCCAATCTCTACAAAAAAAAAAACAAAAAACACAAAAATTAGCCAGATGTGGTGATGCGTACCAGTGTCCCAGCTACTCAGGAGGCTGAGGTGGGAGGATCACCTGAGCCTGGGAGGTCGAGGGTGCAGTGAGCTGAGATGGCATCACCGCACTCCAGCCTGGGTGACAGAGTGAGACCCTGTCTCTAAATAAATAAATAAATAAATAACAGGAGTAGTGTTAGAAAGGAACATTAAGTTAGGAGCTAAAATAAGACAGAGTAGCCCAAGAGTCAGGGATGACAGGGAAAAGGAAGGCTACTTGATAATATAATCTGATGACGAGATTCTGAAAGTGGCAATGAAGAACAAAAACAATACCTACCAGATCCATTTGTACTAGGGTCATGGGAGGAAAGAGACAGCCACCACTTGAGAAAGCAATGTCCTCAGGGCACAGCCAGCTTTCTCTAAGAGCAAGAAGGTAAAGGAAACATTTGGAGGAATGAGTGAGGATATAGATTTTGCTGATGATGGGTCTTGAGTTCCAGAGGGACTCAAGGGTTTTAGAAATTGGAGAAAGGTTTTTGTTGTTTTTTTTTTTAGAGCTCTGTGGTAGTTAGACATGGGAGTTGTGAGGTAGACTGACCATGGGGAAGTAAAATCCCAAGAGAGTTCTCCAGCAGCACTGATGCCCCAGACGTGGTATGTTCCCCATTTCTCCCTCACATACCTCTCTTCTCTGGACTCCTATTTTTGGGTATACAAATCCAGTCTACTTCAATATGTTTTAGGTATTTTCTAACTTGTAGCCTTAACAACCTCCCACTTTAGGATTGCCAGCTTTCTTTTTTTTTGAACAGTCTCACTCAGTTGCCCGGGCTGGAGTGCAGTGGCATGATCTCAGCTCACTGCAGCCTCCACCTTCCAGGTTCAAGGGATTCTCCTGCCTCAGCCTCCCAAGTAGCGGCAATTACAGGCGTGGGCCACCACACCCAGCTGATATTTGTATTTTTAGCAGAGACACGGTTATGCCATGTTGGTCAGGCTGGTTTCAAACTCCTGGCCTCAACTGATCCACCCACTTCAGCCTCTCAAAGTGCTGGATTACAGTTGTGAGCCACCAAGCCCAGCCAGGATTGCCAGCTTCTTTTTAAGAGCTTTCTTTTCTTCTCCCCTCCCTTAGCCTAATCAGCAACCTGTGGTGATGTCATTTCTGTCTACTTCACCCACATTTCTTAGCCTCTTGGTTCTCTTAGATATCAATACTTAAAATCCAATCTTACTTTGGTATGATACATTCCTAAATAGGGGCATGAGAATTAAAATAAGTTAGGAGGAATTTACATGCTGACACATTTTAGACTTTCTCAAAGCTTTTGGATTAACTAGGAATTTTTTTTACAAAGGGTTAGTTAAGGGAAGGACTAGTTTCTCCTTTGCTGTGAACTTGGTTCGGTAATTTTAATTGAGCAAAGGGAGAGCAGCTGTCAGGCAGCTGGTGGACAAGAAGGGACTCCCTGGCTCTCATCACTAAGACTCTGGGCTCCATCAAGAACAGCTGCAGATTATAAAATCTCATAGGGGGCCCTGGAGGCTTCCAGACAACCCCTTTCCCCTCCATCTCACACACTGCACTGGTTCTTACAGCACATTTCCAGCCACTTGGTAATTAGAAAGTGGAAGGCTTGGTCTCCTGCAGACGTAAGAAAATATATTTTTCTTTTTTTTTCTCTAGAGATGGGCTCTCACTGTGTTTTGGCCAGGGTGATCTCAAACTCCTGGCTTCAAGGAATACTCCTACCTCAGCCTCTCAAAGTTCTGGGATTATAGATGTGAGCCACCACATCTGGACAGAATATTTTCTTGATGAATGTAGTGTCTTGTCACCAACTCAAAGACTTAGAGCAAACTCTTCTCATAGGAGAGAATGGTGGCACAGTAAGAGTATAAATACAGATTTTAAAAACAATTTAGTATAACAACAATTTATATAGCATTCATGTTGCATTAGGTATTTTAACTAGAGATGGGCTTTTAAATTTTTTCTTAAATAGAGGTGAGGGGTGGGGATCTCACCATTCATATTGGCCAGGCTGGTCTCAAATTCCTGGCCTCAAGTGATCTTCCCACTTCAGCCTTCCAAAGTGCTGGGATTACAGGCATGAGTCATTATGCCTGGCTGAGATTTAAAGTATACGGAAACACATAGGTTATATGGAAATACTATGTATGCCATTCTATTTCAGGGCTTGAGCACTCACAGATTTTGGTATCTGTAGGGTTCCTGGAACTAATCTCCTCTCCCCTCTTCCCACCCCTCCCAAACACATGTATCAAGGGATGACTATATTTCTAGTGCTAGGAATGAGGACTTCTGTGATTTGTCACCATGGGATAAATATGATGACCTAGTTGTCATCAGATTGATAATATATTGATAAGTGAAATCTTACAGGCAAGCACACAGATACAAACTAGAATTTGAATACTACCCTTAAGGAATCTCTGCTTCTTTTAATGCTTAAAGGAGAACAGAGGGCAAACAGTTTAGGTGACAAGGGGCTAGGCTAGATGACCGTCAAGTATTTTGCTCAAGTATTTAGGATTTGTGCTCTAAGAGGTACCCTCTCCATTTCCTGGAAACCCCCTTAGCCCAGACCACAAACCCCAACATGATCGCACCTGAACATGAGTCATCCAAATTTTGTTATCTAGTAGCTACATTAGGCACAAAGCTTGCATTCCAAAGAGTTTTGATATATATTTCTTTCCCTCCTAACAGCCAAGAAAGCCACCGTGAATTTACTGGGTGAAGAAAAGAAGAGCACCTAAACCAGACTGGATGGAAAATTCCTGCCCTCTCTGTACCTTCCTACTAGAGCTTGATGTTACATTAGGGACCGTGGTATAATTATTTTAATAATGTTGCCTTGAAAACATTTTTGATAAAGATTGGAATGTGTTGTAAGTTTCTTTGCTTACTTTTACTGTCTATATACATAGGGAGCATTTTAAACTTAATGCAGTGGGCAGTGTCCGAATTTTTGGAAAATGTATTTTGCCTCTGGGTAGGAAAAGATGTATGTTACTATCCTGCAGGAAATATAAACTTAAAATAAAATTATATACCCCACAGGCTGTGTACTTTACTGGGCTCTCCCTGCATGCATTTTCTCTGTAGTTACACTTAGGATAATCTTAATGGTTCTACTTCATGTAATGTAAAATTTTATATAATTCTGAAATTTTTTTATGTATTTGTGCACATGTACATATGGGAATGTTACTCTCTGACTACAACATGCATCATGCTCATGGGGAGGGGGGAGGGAGGAGGGGAAGGTTGTATGTGCCATTTGTAACTTCTGTACAGTAAGACCACCTGCCAAAAGCTGGAGGAACCATTGTGCTGGTGTGGTCTACTAAATAATACTTTAGGAAATATGTGATTAATATGCAAATGAACAAAGTGAGAAATGAAATCGAATGGAGATTGGCCTGGTTGTTTCCCTAGTACATGGCATATGAATACCAGGATAGCTTTGTAAAGCAGTTACTCTAGAGATAAATCGGGAAATTTACACACACACATCAGTAACCTATAACTCTCAGTTCCCTGAAGAACTAGTAATACTGTCTTATTTACTTATAAACTTTACATATTTGTCTATTGTCAAGATGCTACAATGGAAACCATTTCTGGTTTTATCTTCAAAGCGGAGAAACATGTTGATTTAGTCTTCTTTCCCAATCTTCTTTTTTAAACAAGTTTAAGGAACTTCTGAAGATTTGTCCACCTCTGATTACATGTATGTTCTTGTTTATATCATTAGCAACAACATGCTAATGACGACACCTAGCTCTTAGAGCAATTCTGGGAGAATGAAAGGAAGTATAACCCATAATCTGCTTGGCAATAGTTAAGTCAATCTATCTTCAGTTTTTCTCTGGCCTTTAAGGTCAAACACAAGAGGCTTCCCTAGTTTACAAGTCAGAGTCACTTGTAGTCCATTTAAATGCCTTCATCCATATTCTTTGTGTTGATAAACTGCACATGACTACATAGTAAGTACAGAACAATAAAGTTGAAATGGATGTCTCCATTGATCTGCCAAATCGTTAGAGCAATTTGTCTGGACTAGAAAATCTGAGTTTTAAACCATACTGTTAAGAGTCCTTTTGAATTAAACTAGACTAAAACAAGTGTATAACTAAACTAACAAGATTAAATATCCAGCCAGTACAGTATTTTCTAAGGCAAGTAAAGATGATTAGCTCACCTTGAGATAACAGGTAAGATCATAACGATATCTCATGATGTAAAAAATATTAAAGATACCAATACTAAGGGACAGTATCACTCTAATATAATATGGATCAGAGCATTTATTTTGGGGATGCAAACTGGTGATTACTGGCATTTTATTAAACTTAAAACTTTGTAGAAAGCAAACAAAATTGTTCTTGCGAGAAAAATCACTTTTAGATTAAAAAACATTTTTTTATGTACCTAGGAGTATTTAAATCCTTTTCCCATAAATAAAAGTACAATTTTCTTGGTGGCAGAATGAAAATTAGCAACTTCTAGCATATAGACTATATAATCAGATTGAAAGCATATAGAATATATTATCAGACAAGATGAGGGAGTATAAAAGTTACTATTGCTCAATAATGACTTACAGGCTAAAATTAGTTTAAAAATACTATATTCTGAATGCAATTTTTTTGTTCCCTTGAGACCACAATTTAACTGTTGTTGGCAGTCTAAGTGTAAATGTTAACAGCAGGAGAAGTTATGAATTGAGCAGTTCTGTCACATGATTTCCCAAATGAAACACTGCCTTGGCTAGAGTTTGAAAAAACTAATTGAGCCTGTGTCTGGCTAGAAAACGAGTTTATTTGAATGTGAATAGTGTTTCAAAGGTATGTAGTTACAGAATTCCTACCAAACAGCTTAAATTCTTCAAGAAAGAATTCCTGCAGCAGTTATTCCCTTACCTGAAGGCTTCAATCATTTGGATTAACAACTGCTACTCTGGGGAAGAGTCTTCTACCCACAGGTGAAGAAAATGAGCACACCCTTCACACTGTTATCACCTACCCTTAAGATGTGATACACTGAATGGAAATGGATGTAAATAAAATTCACTTCTCATTTAACTGTTATATTTCATTTTATTTTGTGGGGCTTTCTTCCTAACCCAGAATTATTTATGCAAAGTTTTAAAATACAGATAAATGAGCCATAAACACTGTTCTTTATTAACTCGATTCCTCACATGGCTTGTAGTTTTCTCCTGGTGGTTCTTGCCTACCAGAGGAAAAGACCTGCCCTAAAGAAAACATACCAACTCAAAAAGTTTCTACCAATAATTAGCACTACATTTAAAGGAAACTGAATCCACGGTTTTTTTTTTTTTTTTTTTCACCTGTGTATTGCGTTACACACAAAGAAGTCTCCTATGACTTAAGATAGTGTATTGCAGGCATCTTAATGTAGTAAACTTTGAGACGGAGTCTTGCTCTTTCACCCAGGCTGGAGTGCAGTGGTGTGATCTCAGCTCACTGCAAGCTCTGCCTCCCAGGTTCACGCCATTCTCCTGCCTCAGCCTCCCGAGCAGCTGGGACTACAGGTGCCCGCCACCACGCCCAGCTAATTTTTTGTATTTTTTAGTAGAGACGGGGTTTCACCGTGTTAGCCAGGATGGTCTTGATCTCCTGACCTCGTGATCCGCCCGCCTTGGCCTCCCAAAGTGCTGGGATTACAGGCGTGAGCCACCGCGCCTGGCCTTGATGTAGTAAACTTTTTACATGTGCCTCCAAATTATGCTGTACTTGTTTTCAGAAGAGATCAAGAAAAAGAGTACTTGAGAATTCTGATAAAAATACCCACTTCTGGCCTATTGGACCTGCAATCCCGGCACTTTGGGAGGCCGAGGTGGGTGGACTGCTTGAGTGCATGAGTTCAAGACTAGCCTGGGCCACATGGTGAGACCCTATCTCTACAAAAAATATGAAAAAATTAGCGGGGGCGGGGGGTGGAGCGTGCCCATAGTCCCAGCTACTCAGGAGGCTGAGGTGGGAGGACTTGAGCCCGGAGGTCAAGGCTGCAGTGAGCCAAGATGGTGCCAGTGCATTCCAGCCTGGGTGACAGGGCTAGACCCTGTCTCAAAAAACAAAAAAACAAAAAAACAAAACCTACTTCTGAAGGTGTGCGTTGGTCCACAGGGTCTCCAACATCTGCTTTTTGATGTCTGCATGTCTAGAATTATGGTGTTTAGAATAACACATGTACAATTCAGATCTTTACCCATCAAATATTACAGTTCTATATAGCATGGCTGGAAAGTAAACATATTTGAGAATGACATTAAAAGTTTTCCTGGCTCACTGCTAGAACACTAACTCTCAAAATCTTACAACATACACACTTAGGAGTTTCCTTGGTTAGATCGATGCTTCCCAAAAACTTTGGTGTGGGCCAGGCGCGGTGGCTCACGCCTGTAATCCTAGCACTTTGGGAGGCCAAGGTGGGTGGCTCAACTGAAGTCAGGAGTTCGAGACCAGCCTGGCCAACATGGTGAAACCCTGTCTCTACTAAATACAAAAAATTAGCTGGGTGTGGTGGTGCATTCCTGTAATCCCAGCTACTTGGGAGGCTGAGGCAGGAGAATGGCTTGAACCCGGGAGACAGAGGTTGCAGTGAGCCAAGATCACACCATTTGCACCCTAGCCTGGGAAGCAAGAACGAAACTCCATTTCAAAAAAAAAAAAATTGGTGTGCATCAGAACTGATGGACGATGGGGATGGAGAGGAGTGTTGTTAAAACAGATTACTGTCCTCTAAGATTCTCATTCAGGAAGTCGGGGGTGGGGCTGAAAGTTTTGCATTTTTAAACAGCCCAGGCAATGTGGGTCCAGGAACTGCACTTTGAGATAAAACCACTGGGTTAGGTAAATGCTATCTTTATATCTTAATACACAGAGGTTTCCAGACCTGGCTGAACATTGGAATCATCTGAGGACCTTTTCAAAAATGATCTCTGCCTCCTCTAACAAAGTGCTGATTTAATTAGTCTACTATGGTAACCAGGTGCCAGTATGCTTTAACAACTCTGTAGGTGATCCTAGTATGGAGCCAAGGTTGAGAACCACTGGTAGAGACTAGTAATGAGGGCAAGACTCTTCCTTTGTTGGCCAGGCTGGTCTCAAACTCCTGGGCTCAAGAGATCTACCTGCCTTGGCCTCCCAAAGTGCTGGGATTACAAGCACGAGCCACCATATCCAGCCACTCTGAACTTTTGTGGTTTTTCTGTTTTTTTGAGACAGGGACTCACTCTGTCATCCAGGCTGGAGTGCAGTGGCATGATCACAACTCTCTGCAGCCTCAATCTCCTGGGCTCAAGCGATTCTCCCGCCTCAGCTTCCAGAGTAGCTAGAACTACAGGTATGTGCCACCAGGCCCATCTAATTTTTTATTTTTTTTTGTAGAGAGGGAGCCTTCCTATGTTGCCCAGGCTGGTCTTGAAGTCCTGGGCTCAAGTGGTCTTCTTGCCTCAGTCTCCCAAAGTGCTGAGATTACAGGTGTGAGCCACAGCACCCGGGGCAGATCTCAACTTATAATCAGCCTTTTGGTCCTTCTATCTTAAACACCAGCAACCAAAACAAAGCTACTTAACATGATAGGGATCAAAATAAAAATAGAAGGAAAGAAAAGGAACTTGGAAACAAGAAGACTATAAATCTCACCTTCTGAGAAATAAATTACATCCATGAACTGAGAATAGAATGCAAGAAAAAGGAAACATGCAAATTACAAGAGCTTAAAGAAGTTAAAAAGAAGGCCGGGCACGGTGGCCCACACCTGTAATCTCAGCACTTTGGGAGGCCAAAGCAGGCGGATCACCTGAGGTTGGGAGCTTGAGACCTGCCTAACCAACATGGAGAAACCCTGTCTCTACTAAAAATACAAAAATTAGCCAGGCATGGTGGTGCATACCTGTTATCCCAGCTACTCGGGAGGCTGAGGCAGGAGAATCGCTTGAACCCAGGAGGCAGAGGTTGTGGTGAACTGAGACTGGGCCACTGCACTCCAACCTGGGTGATAGTGTGAAACTCCACCTCAAAAAAAAAGAAAGAAAGAAAGAATCATTTGGGGATCTCATTGAACACATCTGAATTCTGGGCTGGGGCCAGAGATACTGCATTTTTCACAATCTTTCACCAGAGGCCAGTACTGCTGGTCCTTAAACCACACTTTTAGTAGCAAGTGTACTACATGACTGAGCTGTGAACAGAATGTATAATAATGGAAACTCTGAATAGTGGTTAAATTATGAAATATATTGGTAGACTGGGAAGACAGGAAGACAGGAACTATGCAAGCATATGGTAGAGAAAGAAAACTAAATCCTCTTCTTCTACAGATGGAAGTTAATGCCTAAAACAGAAACACACTATTAAAACTAGCTGGCTTTTTTAAATTATATATAATTTTGATAACAGATTCCTTAAGTGAGTACAGGATGTGAACACAGTTCATAAATACAAAAAGCACTTCAACATCTACATTAAGATTCCCTTTTTCAGCTAGGTGTGGTGGCATGCACCTCTAGTCCCAGCCACTTGAGAGGCTTGCTTCAGCCCAGGAGTATGAGAACAGCCTGGGTGAAATCGTGCAGTGGCACGATTTCAGCTCACTGCAACCTCCATTTCCCAGGGTTCAAGTGATTCTCCTGCCTCAGCCTCCTGAGTAGTTGGGATTACAGGTGCCTGCCACTGCATCCGGCTAATTTATGTAGTTTTTAGTAAAAATGGGGTTTCACCATGTTGGCCAGGCTGGTCTTGACCTACTGACCTCGTGATACACCACGCCTGGCGAATTTCTATTCATTTTTTAAGTTACCCAGTCTGTGGTGTTCTGTTACAGCAACATAAAACACTAAGATTTCAGAATTATTGCTGTAACAATATATTGCCGTTTCTTCACATTACTGCAATTGGTGCAATCAGTGAACTTTTTTTTTTTTGTCAGTTGTTAAGTGAAAACTGTAATCTTTTTAAAACAGACAAAAAAAATTTTTTTTGAATCAGGTCTCTTTTTCTCACCCAGGCTAAAGTGCAGTGGCACAATCACAGCTCAGTGCAGTCTCAACCTCCCAGCCTCAAGTGATCCTCCCACCTCAGCCTCCTGAGTATAAAAGTTTGTAATTAAAAAAAATTTTTTTAGAGGCCAGGTGTGGTGTGGCTCATGCCTGTAATCTCAGCACTTTGGGAGGCCAAGGCGAGCAGATCATGTGCAGTCAGGAGTTCGACACCAGCCTGGCAAACATGGTGAAACCCTGTCTCTACTAAAAATACAAAATTAGCCAGGCATGGTGGTGATGCTTGAAATTGGGTGGCAAAGATTGCAGTGAGCTGAGATCACACCACTGCACACCAGCCTGGGCAATGTGTATTTGGCTCATGATTAGGAGCTGGGAAATCCAAGAGCATGGCACAGTATATGGCAAGGGTCTTTGATGCTGCGTGATCCCATGGTGGAAGGTGAGAGGACAAAGACGGTGTGCTCAGGAGAGCAAAAGAAAAATTTGGCTGAACTCCATTTTATAACAAACCCACTCCTGAGATAGTAACATTAATCCATTCCTGAGGGCAGAGCCCCCATGGCCCAATCACCTCCCAAAGGTTCCACCTCTCAATAACATCACAATGGCAATTAAATTTCAACATGCATTTTGGAGGGGACATTCAAAATATAGCACTGACAATCCTTATTGCCCCCAAACTAAACCACTTCCAGATTTCAACCATCTTTCTGTGACAAACCTTTTAAGTTGGCTACCACAGTATACTTTCTTTTTTTTGAGATAGGGTCCAGCTCTGCTGAGGTGAGTGGAATAGCATGATCACGGCTCACTGCAGCCTCACCTCCAGAGCTCAAACAATCCTCCCACCTCAGCCTCCCAAGTAGCTAAGACTATAGACAAGTACCACCATGCCCAGCTAATTCTTTTATTTTTTGTAAAGACAGAGTCTCACTATGGTGCCCAGGTTGGTCTCAAATTCCTGGACTCCAGTGATCCTCCTGCCTCAGCCTCCCAAGGTGCCAGGATTACAGGTGTGAGCCACTGTACCTGGCCCAGTATGTGTTCTCAACTACTTTCTTCCTTAGCTGCCTTGGCTGTCAGGACTGAAAAAGCTATGTAGTCACCCCTCATCTGTGGTTTCACTTCTGTTGTTTCAGTTACCTTGGTCCCAAAACAGGTGAGTACAGCACAGTATTTTGAGAGAGACTGACAATTTCCACATACCTTTTATTATAGTATATTGTTATAATTGTTCTAATTTTATTGTTAATCTGTTACTGTGTCCAATTTATAAACTTTATCACAGGTATGTATTAACCCATTCTCACGCTGCTATGAAGAAATATCCAAAACTGGGCAATTTTTAAAGGAAACAGGTTTAATTGACTCACGGTTCCGCACTGCTGGGGAAGCCTCAGGAAACTTACAAACATGGCAGAAGGCAAAGGAGAAGCAGACACCTTCACAGGGTGGCAAGATGGAGTGACTGCAAGCAGGGGAAATGCCAGGCACTTACAAAACCAACAGATCTTATAAGACTCATTATCTCAAGAACAGCACAGGGGAAATTGCCCCCATGATCCAAGTATCTCCACCTAGTCCCACCCTTAACACATAGGGATTTGGGGATTATAATTCAAGATGAGATTTTGGGTGGGGCCGCAGGTAACCATATCAGGTATATATGAATAGGCAAAAACATAGTATATATATGGTTCAGTACTATCTGCTGTTTCAGGGATCCACTCAGAGTCTTAGAATGCATCCCCCAAGGATAAGGAGGACTGCTGTGTTCACTTTCTTAGCCTCCTTTGCAGCTAGAGATGGACGTGTCACAGTTCTCAACAGCGAAACTAAGTGAAAGCCTGCTGGGAGGAATTCTGAGAAATCTCATGCCTATGGTCTCAGCTACTTGGGAGGCTGAGGTGGGAGAACTACTTGCCAAAAGTGGCTGGCACAGTTACCTTTACTTCCTGCCTTGCACTCACGTAAATACTAGCCCTTTTACAAGCAGGAACAACAATCATAAAGGTGTTAAAAATATGTCATGAACAGTAGAGCGGAAAAATACAAAAAAGGCATCACTGAGAGCTAAACCAACAACCACAGCAACCTCACTTGGATTTAACATATGAGACAAAAATCTCCTGCTTAAGTCCCTCATTGTTTTGTTACACAGCAAACACATTCCCTTGTGTTGCACAGCCAAACACACCCACTTTCTCAAAGAAGGCTGCTCTGAATTATGTTTCATACATACTCCCCTCTCCCCAGGATTTATTTGTAAGTCAAATATGTAAACTCTTATACTATTATGTTCACTATAAAACAGAAATTGTTAAGAATTAAAAAAAAAAAAAAAGGTCAACAGGCCAGCTGGCTCATGCCTGTAATCCCAGCACTTTGGAGGCCGAGGCAGGCAGATCAACTGAGGTCAGGAGTTCAAGACCAGCCTGACCAACACAGAGAAACCCCTTCTCTACGAAAAATACAAAAGTAGCTGGGCGTGGTGGCACATGCCTGTAATCCCAGCTACTAGGGAGGCTGAGGCAGAAGAATCACTTGAACCTGAACCTGGGATGCGGAGGTTGTCGTGAGCTGAGATTGCGCCACTGCACTCCAGCCTGGGCAACAAGAGTGAAACTCTGTCTCAAAAAAAAAAAAAAAAAAAAAAAACAACTTAAAGAAAATGGAATTTACTGAAAATAAGAGGTAGCTTGCAGAATTCAAGAGCCAAACCAGGCCTCAGAAAGAACAGCAATCAGGATAGCTCAAAATCACTACTTTCAGAAACTGCTCTGAAATAAATTCAGAAGCACCAATCCAATTTAGTTTCTTGAAGGAAAGTGTACCTCAAGGTGCTGAAGTACAGTTAATTTTAGAACTCCCATGAAAATCATGTTCTTAAACCTACAAAATAAGCAAATTTAAAGCTTAAAATCCAGGACTTTCCATGTCAAAACAAGAATTGAACGATTTGATTACAGTAACAGATTAAAATATGATCTACAGACTGGCTTTTTACAGACTCCCCTGTTCCCCACCCACAAGAGGACCTACCACTTTCTTCTAGTTTTAGACTCACACTATGGAAACTTTCACTACATATTTTATTCTTAATTACCTCTCCTCTCCTAGCATTCATTCATAAGCAAAAGTTGCAAAAGTCAGTTTCAAATTTTATTTCATTAACTTAAAAGGTGGACAAAATGTTTATTTTAAATCGAATTGAAATTTATCTGAAACAAGTAACTCATTTCAAGTAACTTATTGTACAGTCCTTTGTCCATTTAAAAATATTCTTTCTTCCAAAAAAAACTGCATTGAAAGACAAAAAAATTCTTTTATATGGCATAAAAGCGAGATGCAAACTTCTGATGTAAATTTGTCACTGTCAACTCCGATGATAAAGATGCGAGGCACAAGCGTTCACAGTTCAGTTAAATGATGCAAACAAAAAGCTTCTGTTTCCCTCTGATATAAATCAGAAGTCTCCATTCATGTCTCTTACAGTAGTACCACATACTTGATGCTGATACTAGGTTACTTCTTTTTCTTTCCTTTCCCTTTTTTACTTCCCTCTCCTTGTTGAAGACTTTGGTCAGCACCTCCTGCTTTTTGTGTCCTTGTTTTTAGTTTAGGTATCATTTCTGCTGCATACAACATTACTGACTTACCTAGGAACCAGAAGTTAGGCTTAGTGTATAATCTGAGAAATAAGACATAAAAGGTCATCAACTTGAATATCACAAAGTGTAAGAAACTATCACATCAAGAAAATGGAAAATTTTTTTTTAAAAAAATGAAAAATCAAATGACTGAAGACACTGACTAGCTCAAGCTGGGGGAAATGTACTGAGAGTGAGAATAATGCTGAAAATATTTAAATGAATCAAATCAAAAGGCAAACATAAGTATGAAAAAAAAATTTTGGTTTTGGTCCTAGCAATTAGCCTGAAGATCTAAGGAGTATCCAAATACACCTCAGGTAGGAAACAGAGTCAGAATATCATTGTCTCTTAAGACGCTGAAACACAGGGTTTTCTCAGACTTACAACAAAAAACAGTATCATCAAGTCACAAGAGATCCGACGGGTAAGATCAGATGATCTACACTTACATGCATTCCTGCTCTGCATACCGACAATCAGCTGCCTTCACCCAAAACAGACTAAGCTCCTCAGCTCTGCTTTCTTTTCACTATTTTACTTGGGTCTTACTGGAAATAGGAAGTGACATGTTCTCACCACAATTTCTACCCCTATTTTATCTACTAGTTAATTACAAGTTTTTGTTTGTTTTTGTTTTTTTGAGATATAATATAGGAAAATGTTAAGGAGGAGAAAAAACGTATCAGAATATACTATCACTCCTTAGTCACAACCTGAAGCATCTAGCAATACCTACCAATCCTGATGAGTTTTAGTATATTAAAAAAATCTATTTTAGGCTGAGCCCAGTGTATTATGTCTGTCATCTCGGCTCTTTGGGAGGCTGAGGCAGGAGGATCACTTGTGTCCACGAGTTTGAGACTGGCTTAGGAAACATAGCAAAACCCCATCTCTAGAAAAAATAAAAAATCATGCGTCTGTATTCTCAGCTACCTGGGAGGCTGAGGTGCGAGGGTTGCTTGAGCCCAAGAGGTCAAGACTGCAGTGTGTTAGCTGGGCGTGGTGGCTCATGCCAACACTTTGGGAGGCCGAGGTGGGCAGATCACCTGAGGTCGGGAGTTCGAGACCAGCTTGACCAAGATAGAGAAACTCCATCTCTACTAAAAATAAAAAATTAGCCGGGTATGGTGGCTCATGCCTGTAATCCCAGCTACTTGGGAGGCTGAGGCCGAAGAATCACTTGAACCTGGGAGGCAGAGGTTGCGGTGAGCCAAGATCACACCATTGCACTGTAGCCTGGGCAACAAGAGCGAAACTCTGTCTCAAAAAAAAAAAAAGAAAAAGACTGCAGTGTGCCATAATCGTGCCACTGCACTCAACCTGTATGATAGAGTGAGCCCTTGTCTTTAAAAATAAAAGTTCAAACATGCTGGCTGGGCATGGTGGCTAATGCCTGTAATCTCAGCATTTTGGGATCTCCTCAAGATGGGAAGATTGCTTGAGGCCAGGAGTTTGAAATTAGACTGGGCAACATAGTGAGACCCTTGTCTCTCTATTTTTAAAAAATCAGGCCGGGTGCAGTGGCTCATGCCTGTAATCCCAGCACTCCGGGAGGCCAAGGTGGGCAGATCACAAGGTCAAGATATCGAGATCATCCTGGCCAACATGGTGAAACCCCGTCTCTACCCAAAATACAAAAGCTAGCTGGGTGTGGTGGCACATGCCTGTAGTCCCAGCTACTCGGGAGGCTGAGGCAGGAGAATCACTTGAACCAGGGAGTCGGGGGTTCCAGTAAGCCAAGATCATACCACTGCACTCCAGCCAGAGCGAGACTGTCTCAAAAACAAACAAAAAAAACAAACAAAAAAATCAAACAAGTTGTCAGTTTGTCTGACAGTTTCACTCTTTTCAAGTAAATTTAATGGGAGAGTTCAACTAAACTGAGGGGATTATTAAAATTAAAGAAAAATTTAATAGCTCTGTTTTAAAAAATTAAAATTCTCAGAGATGAAAATTCAGAAAAATAAACATGTAAACAAAAACTTATCTTCCTAATACTCAGAACTAACATTCTGTTATATTGATGTGTTTGATTACTGTTTTTCATGAAATAAAACACTAGAGATGACGCAACAATCTTCTATGACCATCAATCCGTGTTTCTACTCTCTATCCTGCTCACCATTAGGTGACTACTGTCTTAAGAGTGAGTGTTTCCTTACAGAGCATTTCAAAAAAATACCAATAAGCAACAATACATATGCATCTATCAATAAATAGTAATATTTTGTATTTAAATTTACCTAAGTGGTACCATATTATGCATATCTCTTGCTTTTTTCAGTCAATATTGCTTTTTAAATTTATTAATGATAGAATAATTAGATATTAACAGACCTCAAGGACCTCTAGGATCTGAAATGGCAATCAACGTTCAACAACTTAATAATTTTATATTCTTAACCTGGGAGCAATGACAGACTTCCAGAGGTTTATAAAATGTTCACACAACAATTTTTTGGAAAAATGTTTAGTGGGTCTCATTACATTTTCAAAGAGGTCGTTCACCTCAAAGAAATTAGAACTACTGCTTCTCTCCATGAGCAGTAGTCCTGTCTTTAAATTAATCTTCAGAATGCAAACTGTGACTTTCACCTTTCAGTTTTAGAACCTTTTCTGTGTTGCATAGGAGAAACCTATCCCTGAGCCCCACTGATTCATTTAAAAAGCTTACGTGATGGGAACTGCACAAGGCAGAGGCTGCCATCTTCCTGTTTGAGCTGGACCCGGACTCTGCCTCTGTATTGGACATCACGATTCCATTCTCTAGAGTACATTTTATTTTTCTAACATAAACGAAACAAAAGAAAAACAAGGCTTAAGAAAGTTATTACATCAATTAGATGAGTATGGAAAATAGTGAAGAACCACGTCATACCTCAAGAAATACGTTAAGTCCAACTGCTGAACATACATCTTGAATCTCTGTAGCTGTAGGATTTTCAACAGCCTGAACAGTTAAAAACATAAACACTAAATATATTTGCTTTAAGTGGACACTGCCATAATGTTGGGTAAATAATTTCAAATACTATAATCAAACAAGTACCAAAACCCTAGGTTTCCTTTTTCATTAAGTACAGATGCTTCCACTGTAATTTTAAAAATTCCTAGGAATAACACTAATGCATACGTGTGTGCCCATCTCCCCTCCAACAGAACATAAACTTCTGAGGGCACGGGCTTTGTTTTGTTAACCAGTGTATTCCCCAGCACCTAGCATGGTACTCTGAATATAGTAGGTGCTCAATGATTACTGACTGCTTAAACAATTACACATACAAACACTTTAGAAAACTGCTAGTATCTACTAAAGCTGAATATATGCATTGTTTATGGCCCTGCAATTCCATTCCCAGATGCGTTCTACAAAATAAGTTCACTAAAAGACAACTATTTATAATAGCCTCAAACTATTAATAGAAATAATCCAATTTTCCATCCAGAGTAGAAAGGGCCAGGTGTGGTGGCTCACAACTGTAATCCCAGCACTTTGGGAGGCCAAGGTAGGCAGATCACTTCAGTTCAGGAGTTTGAGACCAGCCTGGGCAACATGGAGAAATTCCATTGCTGCAAAAAAATACAAAAATAGCCGGACGTGGTGGCATGTGCCTGTAGTCCCAGCTACTTGGAAGGCTGAGGTTGGAGGATGGCTTGAGTCCGGGACGTGGAGCCTGCAGTGCACTGAGACTACACCGCCGCACTTCAGCCTGGGTGACACAGCCAGACCCTGTCTCTTAAAAAAACAAAAAAGAAGGTAGAAAAGACTCTGGTATATTCACACAATGCAATACTATAGAGGAGACGGGGAAGTAGTTTTGAGTAGGGAAATTCTGTCCTCAGGCTCCCTACCCCATACACACGCAAAAGACATCTAGCAATGCTTGGAGACATTTTTGATAGTCACAATTAGGGAATGGGGGTTGGAGGAGGATAGTGGGTAGAGGCCAGGGATACTGCTGAACATCTTAAAATGCACATAACAACCCCCAACAACAATTATCTAGCTCAAATTGGCAATGGTGCTGCTATTGACAAACTCTGTTACAGAGCAATGAAAATTCAACTACATTCTAATATGTAGATAAATCTCGTAAGCTTAAAGTTCAGTGAAAAAAAAGATACAAAAGTACATACTGTGAAATTCCGTTTACAGAAAAGTAAAAAATAAGCAAAAGTAACCTATGGCGTCAAAGTCATGACAGTGGTCATCCTGGTATTTTTGAGCATATGCGGAGGCGACAGTGACTGGGAGGGAACATAACGCAACCTTCCTGGATGCTTATGTTTTCTTTTTTGAGTGCTTGTTACCACCCAGATGTACTCATCACGTGAGAATTCACTGCATCAAACCTAGGTGCCTTAAATCTGTCATATTACAAAATACAAATTACACTTTAATAAAACTCAACAGGGCGGAACTTTTTGCAAGTCTTCACATACTTAAAAAAATCTCAACTACATTCTGAACATTGTTAATATATCGTACAATGTCATAATTGTGATTTCCTGTATCAAGGGGAACAATGTCATAACTTCGTTTTAAAAAAACATGTAAACTCTACAGACTCTGCCCCCACTTCTTTACAAACACAGGCTCATTAAGAGCCATTAAAAAAAAAATCCCTTCAGCTATGAATTAATGCCTTTCTGGTTTCACCAACACTAAGGAACGCACCCCAATTCTTGGCTGTCGTTCTCCTCAAGGCCGAAATAAATGCAGTGAAGAGAACCCCCTGTGGCTGTAACAAGATGACGTGGCCCGACCAGGATGACACCCCCTATTCCCTCGAGGACCAAGGAGCCAGCCATCTGCTTACCTTACTTATGGGGATTCGCCTTCCCTCTGCGATGGTCTTCTTATTATTTAAATAAGCAGGATAGATACAAATAAACCTGCCATAGACAATAGCATAAGTGGTATCACTAGAGCAGTTAAGAGGCAGGAGAAGAGGGTCGGGTGCCAGGAAACCAAAGGCCAATTCATGCTGAGTAGCTATCAGATGGCTACTCCCTTTTCAAACCCTCCTTTTTCTGCGTGGCTGCTGAAAAATCAAACTACCTTAGAAAGGTCCCCTCCAGCAACCAATCAGACTGGCTGCAGGCTTACTCCTCATTCTGAGTGATCCCCCTCCCTCAACCAATCAGACTGGCACTGGTCAATAGGAAACCTCTACAGAGTATTTAAATCCCAGAAAATTCCGTAACCAACAGCTCTTGGGTGGCTTGCTGGAGCCTGCTTCCACCCTGTGGAGTGTACTTTTGTTTAAAATAAATCTGCTTTCGCTGCCTTGTGTGTTTTGTTCAATTTCTTATTCAAAACGTCAAGAACCTGGACAACTACACTCAACGGATAACAAGTATTTTCAAAAATACATTCTTTCGGTCCGTGGTAGGCGACGTCATCATTATTGCTGGTACACCTGTGCTATTATTTGCTTAATGTTTTTTCTTTAAATTACCTCCCTTTTACTTAACTTAATTAAAAATAAATTTTATCTACTACCTTGGAAGGAAAAAAACCACACGAATAGAAACAAAACAACCTGGATAAATGTTACATTCGACACAGCAGCCTGTTAAAAGTTCCTGAGAATGGGTCCGCCCTCTTATATAAAAAGTGTCCGAGGTATTAAAAACTTCAAAATTTCACAAATGAGCCTTTCTGAACGCAACAATAATTAAAAAGAACACATTTCTCACACTGAGATTATGTTACTTAATATTATGTCCACGTAGCACCCAAAATCCTTGTCTCGCGTACAGGTAAACACTAGGCTACCTACAGTCGGAATTTCAGGAGCCCTGCGAAGAGCCTGGTGGCTGCTGCAGGATTCTCAGAAAAATCAGCCGCCAAGGAGACCCGCGGAGCCCGTCCAGGGCGAGCTGGATCAGCTAGGCCATTCTAGAGGCCGCGGAGCGGAGAAGGGCGGCGTAACACTCGCGGCACCACAGCAAGCCCCTTCCTTTCTGAGGACCCACCTCCCCAGAACCCACCTGTCCTGGTCCGCCGGGGACCGCGCGGCAGCGCAAGCCATCTTCACAAGAGTCTAAACAACAGCCCAGGAGCCGTACTTGAAAACCCGAGAGGAACCCAGCTCGGCGTTTCCGAGACAGCCTAGCCCGCTTTTCCGCCGGAAGTCCTGCCCACCAAATGGTTCCGCGTCCGCGATTTCTCACCGCCTGTTTGTTCCGGCACCTGTCGCTCGGCGCCAAGATCTCTAGTCTCTGACGTGGCGCGAAGGCTTCCCTCTCGCGAGAGGATCATGAAAGCTTCTCATTGCTTTCCCAAATCTCGCTGGGGAGACCAGGTGGGGCGCATGCACGGCCACTGAAATGGGCTTAACTTCGACCCTCCCTCCTTTCCAGTTTTTCAGCGAGTATGAGTGATACTAGCTACCCTCTGTTAAGGGGCGAAGACTGTGCAAGGAGGGGAATCTGTTTGGTTCAGGATGTTAGAGCAGGCAAGGAAATACTCCTTATGTTTAATTTTTATCCGTTCCTGGGCCCTAGAGCTTGCTTTCGATTTGGCAAAATGGATTTTTATAGTGGTAGAACTAGCAAAGTCATAGACGTTGTGTTTCAGTGTGCTGTGTGTTGGAAACTTCAGTGAGCTGTGTGTTAGGCCGGGTGCGGTGGCTCACGCCTGTAATCCCAGCACTTTGGGAGACTGAGGCAGGCGGATCGTAAGGTCAGGAGTTCGAGAGCAGCCTGGCCAACGTGGTGAAACCCCGTCTCTACTAAAAATACAAAAACTAGCGGAGTGTGGTGGCACACCTGTAATCCCAGCTACTAGGGAGGCTGAGTCGGGAGAATCACTTGAACCCGGGAGTTGGAGGTTGCAGTGAGCTGAGATCACACCACTGCACTCCAGCCTGGGTAACAGAGCAAGACTCCGTCTCGGGAAAACAAAACAAAACTATTCACCTTTTAAAACTTCAGAAGGATACTATGTGCCATCACTACAGGCATACTTCGTTATTGCACTTTGCTTTGCTGCCACCAGTAGATACAGCCTTTTTACAAATGGAAGGTTTTTGGCAAATCCGCCGGAGGAAATCTCTTGGTGCCGTTTTATCCAGCAGCATACGCTTTGTGTCACATATGGTAATTCTTGCAATATTTCAAACCTTTTCATTATTTCTGTTACGGTGATCGGTAATCATTGATGTTTGCTGTTACTATTATAATAGTTTTAAGGCCGGGCGCGGTGGCTCACGCCTGTAATCCCAGCACTTTGGGAGGCTAAGGCAGGTGATGATGAGGTCAGGAGATAGACACCTTCTTGGCTAACATGGTGAAACCCCATCTCTACTAAAATACAAAAAATAAGCCGGGCATGGTGGCGCAGGCCTGTGGTCCCAGCTACTCGGGAGGCAGGGGAATCGCTTGAACCCTGGAGGTGGAGGTTGCAGTAAGCCAAGATCGCGCCACTGCACTCCAGCCTGGCGACAGTGCAGGACTCTGTCTCAAAAAATAATAAGTTTTGGGGCACCATGAACCATGCCCAGATAAGATGGGGGAACTTAATGGATAAACGTTGTCTTTGTTTTAACTGTTTGACCAACTGGCCATTTCCCATCTCTCTCCCTTTCCTGCAGTCCCTATTCCCTGAGACACAACAATGTTGAAATTAGGCCAATTAATAACCCTACAATGGCCTCTAAGTGTTAAAATGAAAGGAAGAGTCACATGTCTCACTTTCAGTCAAAAGATGGAAACGATTAAGCTTAGTGAGGAAGGCATATGTAAGCCAAGATGGGCTGAAAGCTAGGCCTCTTGGCACCTAACAGCCAAGTTGTAAATACAAAGACAAAATTCTTGAAGGAATTAAAAGGAAATTACTTCAATAAACACACAAATGATCAGAAAGCAAAACTTTATTGCTGATATGGAGAAAGTTTTAGGTGTTTGGACAGAAGATCCAACCAGCCACAACATTCCTTTAACCCGAAGCCTAATCCGAGCAAGGCCCTAACTCCCTTCAATTCTATGAAGGCTGAGAAAGGTTAGTAAGCTTCAGAAGTGGGAAGCTAGTAGAGGGTAGTTCAGGAGGTTTAAGAAAGTATCCATCTCCATAACATATAACATGAAAGTGCAAGGTGAAGCAGCAAGTGCTGATAGAGAAGCTGCAGCAAGTTATCCAGAAAATGTAGCTAATATCATTGATGATGATCACTGATTACCTATTATTATTTAGTGGCTACACTAAACAACAGGTTTTTCAATGTAGACAAAACAGCCTTCTAGGGGAAAAAGATGCCGTCTAGGACGTAGCAACCAAAATCCTTGTCTCTCTGAGAGAAGAAGTCAATGTCTGGCTTCAATGCTGCTCCATTTAGTGGCTACACTGAACAGATTTTTCAGTGTAGACAAAACAGCCGTCTGTTGGGAAAAGATGCCTTCTAGGAAGTAGCACTCAAAATCCTTGTCTCTTTAAGAGAAGTCAGTGCCTGGCTTCAGAGCTGCTGAGGACAGGCTGATTGTCTTGTTAGGGAATAATGTAGTTGGTGACTTTAAGTTGAAGCTAATGGATATTTACTATACTGAAAATCCTACAGCCCCTAAGAATGATGCTAAATCAACTCTGCCTGTGTTCTTTAAATGGAACAACAAAGCCTGGATGACAGTACATCTGTTTACAGCATGCTTTACTGAATTATTTTTGAGACAAGGTCTCGCTCTGTTACCCAGGCTGGCATGCAGTGGCCCTATCACATCTCATTGCAGCCTTGACCTCCCACACTCAAGCAGTCCTCCCACACTCAAGCAGTCCTCCCACACAAGCCTCCTGAGTAGCTGGGACTATGGGCTCACGCCACCATGCCTGGTTGATTTATTTTTATTTTTAGTGGAAACAAGATCTTGCTATGTTGCCTGGGCTGGTCTTGAACTCACGGGGTCAAGCAATCCTCTTGCCTCAGCCTCACAAAGTACTGGGATTACAGGCATGAACCACCGCCCCCAACCTTTACTGAATATTTTTAAGCCCACTGTTTAAATCAATTGCTCAGAGAAAAAAAAAAAAAAGAGAGAGTCCTTTCAAAATATTACTGCTCATTGACAATGCACCTAGACCTCTAGACATCTAAGGCTCTGATGGAGATCTAGAAGGAGATTAATGTTTTCATGCCTGATAACACATCATCCATTCTGCAGTTTGTAGATCAAATAGTAATTTTTATTTTCATCTCTTATTAAGAAATACATTTTGTAAGACTATAGCTGCCAAATAGTGATTCCTCTGATGGATAAGGGCAAGATAAATTGAAAACCTTCTGAAAATGATTCACTATTCTAGATGGTATTAAGAGCATTTGTGATTCATTGGAGGTTAAAATATCAACATGAACAGGCAATTGGAAGAGGTTGATTTCAACCCTCTGAGATGATTTTGAGGACTTTAAGACATTAGTGGAGGCAGTAACTGCAGATGTGGTGGAAATAGCAAGAAAACTATAATTAGAAGTAGAAACTGAAGATGACTGAATTGCTACAATTATGATAAAACTTGAATGATGAGGAGTTGCCTCTTATGAATGGGCAAAGAAAGTGGTTTCTTGAGATGAAAACAACTGGTGAATATGCTGTGATCATTGTTGAAATGACATCAGAAGGTTTAGAAGAGCATAAACGTAGTTGATACAGCAGTGGCAGGGTATGAGAGGACTGACTCTAATTTTTAAAGAAGTTCTACAATGCCTAAAATACTACCAAACAGCATCACATGCTACAGAGAAATCTATTGTGAAAGGAAGAGTCAGTTGATGTGGCAAAATTCACTGTTGTCTCATTTTAAGAAACTGCCACAACCACTCCAGCCTTCAGCAACCATCATCCTGATCAGTCAGCAGACATCAACACTGAGGCAAGACCTTCCACCAGCAAAAAGATTATGATTTTCCAAAGGCCCAGATGGTTGTTAGCATTTTCAGCAATAAAGTATTTTAAATAAGGTATGTACATTATTTTTCTAGATATAATGCTATTTCACACTTAACAGACTACAGTATAATGTAAACATAACTTTTATATGCACTGAGAAATCAAAAAATTGTATGACTTGCTTTATTATGATACTTGCTTTATTGTGGTGGTCTAGAACCAAACCTGTAACATCTCTGAGGTATGCCTATATATTTTTGCGTAACTTAGATTGATTGCAAAATAGTATTTCAGCATCTCCATTCAACTAAACCCACCTTCGTTCCTATTTTAATAATGGATGTTTATTCCACACCTACAAGACATGCTTCAAAAAGCCAGGCAAAGTGAGATAGATTTTCTCTTTTACAGATAAAAAAGCAGACAAACTGAAAGACCAAACTCAACCAACAAAAATCTTCATGAAAGTTTAAGTCTCAGTGAGGTTAAATAATTAGCCCATTCATGCTAATAATGGCTGAGCATAGATGCTCAGCTAGTCTGACTGGAAGCCCCTGACTTTCCTTCATGTACTCATTATGTCTCTCAATCTTCCTTGTAGTTTTTTTTTTTTTTTTTTTAGCACAAAATTAAGTTTGCTCCTGATGTAAATAAGTAACGTTTACTTATTTCTAAAGTGTATATGATTCCTGCAAAAACAGTGTCATGCAATAACCTAAAATTGAGGAGTACATTTAGAGATGAAATGAATCCAAATTTTAAAATACATAGTTTTATTGCTTTAGGATACGCATACACATATTAAAAAGTGAAAAAATGAATGAGGTAGTCTGAGGCTTAGTACATGCAAGTAGCCTACTTACCATGGAATTGTTTTTGTAGAGCCATCTAAGTAATTGGAGACAAAAAGGTCAATATTATAACTGCTAGTAACATTTCCTTGTTCATATATACTAAGATAATTAATGACAGAGCTAATATTTTTAGTGTCATTCAATGGCAAATCCACACTCCTATTAAACTCCACACTATTGCTGAGATATTGTACAAGTAGAGAGGAGGGGTGAGGAAGAGAGAAAGAATGCAATATTGTTACCACACTGACAATGAAATTTTGAGCCAAATATAAAGTTTTTAAATGTTTATGCTTGTGGAAAGGCAGGTTAAATTAAAGGAGAATGAAGATGGACATGGAAAAATTGTGGAGATGATGAAAGGGCTTTATAGAATTATGGCACTTGTTTTCAAATCTTATTTTTATCAAACTGTCTTCCTTTTCTTCATACAAACATGCCACTAAATTCAACTTATCAACCTTGATTGAGGCTGCTGGC